CTTCATGGTTGCTCTGTGATTCATTGTCGGATTGATTGGATTTGGCTCCAGCTACAATCGCAGCATAACTGTTGGTGGCTACTATAGCTGTCGGAATGGAGGGGCGTGTGGTGTTCATGGGGTTTTGTTGGGTTTGATCTGAAACTGCTGATGACAGAAGAAAGTCGAATTTGGTGATTGTGGTTGCTTTTGTTGCTCTGGTTTGTTGGGTCTGCACGGTGCGATCATCCCGACTAAGGGGAACGATGATTGGTGCTTGGATGTCGGGATTGTTAGTGCAATGATTTTGGATTGACTGCTGTATGAATTGATGCACTTCATCCTTTTTGTCCATGAGACATACGACATAGATTGTTCCAGTGTCCTTGGTGTGGCTTGTGGTCGAGATGTGGATGATGTTGAGTGCTTTGTTTTGTTCTGCCACGGTTTTCAGTGCTTCAATGATGTCACCATTTGCTCCAATCACTTTCACCGCTCCACACCTTTTCTTGATTTCATTGTTGACCTTAAGGTTTTTCTCGAAGTCTTCCTTGTTGGATTTGGTATCACTGAAGATGATCTGGGGTCCTTTGAAGGGATGTTTCTTGAGAATCTCTGTTACTCTGTTTAAGTCTTTCTCACCAACAAACATGGACAATGTGTCAGACCTGGTGGTTCCACAGCGTACAGTTGTGCGTTGAACATTGAAAGGTGGCACTTTGTGGGTCTTCAAATGTGCTTCCATGTCAGCAGTAACTCCAATGCGGTAAGTTTTCTCTGGGTTAGCACCCAAAAGGAAGCCTACCGACTTACTAACACTTTCTCGTAGATTGTGAGGTCTCATCTGAATGTTGACCGTTTTGAGGTATCCTGACAGAGGAAGATGCTCTTTGAGTGTCCTGAGATTTCTGCCAATGCTGTCTGAGGCAATCCAAATGGTGAAGTGAGCCTTGAACTGGTTTTGCATGTCGGTTCCCCAGCGGGTGTTTTTTATATCTCCGAATGCAACCCAATCTCCAGTGGCGGCTTTTCTGATCGAGATGGCCTGGTTGATGTTGCAGTTGAATGGCATAAGCACAGCAGTATTGTCCACTTCTCCTACCAACTTGATGATTTTGTTGAGTTCCTCTTGGGTGAAGGCAGATGAGTTATTGTCGCCAACTCTGGTGAAGCAGATTCCAATCTTATTTGCCTTTTTGGAAACCAGAGTAGCCATTACGGTTGCGTTCTTCTTGTTTTTGCTGACAACCTCTTCAAATCCATCCTCCGGAGAGTTATCCTTGTCAACTGAAGAGTTCATGTTGGTTGGTGGTGAATTGGGAGTTGGGGTTTTTGAGTGGGTGATAGGGTTAGGGTTTTGGTTGTTATTTTGCTGCTTGGTGCTGCTAACTGAGTTGGTATGCTTGATTTCCTTCTGTGATCAGAATTGGACGATCCTATTGGGTAGGATGTGTTTCCTGATGATGCTACCACTGTGGTTAAGCTGGGAGTACTTATCTCTCGCTCGAAGCTTGTTGTTTGGCTTCCTTCCAGTAGAATGCCCGTTTCGCCGGGTTGTTGTACTGTTTTTCCCACAGTGATCGATTGGTCGACAAGTAAGTTGCTGATAAGCTGTTGTTGCTTGTTCGATTGGTTCGATAACCAGAGGATGATCGTTACTAATAGGTATGATGCTGTTGTGATGCTTGGATTTGCTCGAAACGGCTTGATAATGGTTTTGTGGACAATGCCAAAAATTTGACACCAATTCCTGATAGTCCTGGGAATTGTCCCCCGAACATTTGGAATGGCTATTCCAGATCCCACTCAAATCGCGCATGCAACTGAATACACCAGTCATCATTCAACTTTTGAACACATGGGAACCTGTGTTACAAGAGAGTCACTACACCACAGCCCTGGAAACAGGATAGTCGGACATTCCTACCATCCCTTTTCCTTACCCCTCCTAACCCCCTTCAAATTTCTTTCTTACCAACCCCGACTCTCTTCAACAAAGAGCTCGTGATTTGTGGTGCATCATGGCTCTGACCTCAGTGCACAAATCCTTAGATAACTAACAGGCGTCGCACCCTCTCAGGAGGCCAGTGTGGCCGGTGAGCAGACTTGACTGTGGGAAATACCCGGGCCTCGGCTCGGGGGTCGTCCTCAAGCACATTTTGTCTGAATCCGTTATTAGACGTTCAGTTTTTTAATAGTAATTTGCAGACGATTTTTGTTGATGATTTTTGAATATAACGAAGTTTTATTATTTAGGCTGCACCTCAATAGACCACCCGCTGAACTGAGCCATATTGAACCGGAGTACCTCAGACGTACAAGGACGCCCACATAGGAACCGGCCTAGTGCAAGCCCCCCACCGGAGAAGTTTAAAAACTCCGAAGGGTGCATTGCAACTATCTAACTACCCCTGGCTGGATTGACATCTATTTCTACGGTAAGACCCCCTCTGTGCGTAGTTACCCTGTTTCATTGTTCTGCACGGTGCGTGCATGCTCGGCCCTGAGTGCCTTGTTGACGACGGGCAGCCAATTGGCAAGCCACGCTTTGACGTCGCCTGGGCCCGTTGCCATTTGCTCGTCAACCGGGCGCTTGAAGATAAAATCCACCAGCTCCGCTGGGATCAGATCCGCTTTCTCGTAAATGAGTTCCACCTCCCGCTGAAGCTGTTCGTGCTTCTTCCGCTGTTCTTCCCTGTCTTTGCCATGCCTGGCAGCATTGTGATCTTCCCACAGGTTCCACCACTGCTGGATGAGCAGTGAGGCCAGGTTGGTGACCCACAGCTGTCCGGTTTTGGAGGTCTCCTTGGAACCGACCGGATGCAAATATTCATCCTGGTGTTTGGCCCACTGCTTGGCCATCCGTTCCCGCATGAGGTTGTCCCACCCGATCAAGTTCTGAGCGTCAACCAGGTCCCGGTACCTGTCTGGGTAATGCCATGGATGCAGGAACCTCTTTTCGAGTGGTACTGCAAGCCATCAAGAACGATCTCCAGCAGGACTGGATCCGTGCCCACCTTACGAAGCATTGTGCTGATTGCACGCTGCATGGTCCCCCGCCACAGTTCCACATCCACATGCGGGCACCTGTAGACGTGAGCTTCCGATTCGTAGTCGCAACTGCACCTGGGGCACTTGTGTACTTGGGGTCGTCCCTGTTCACCACCTTTCCCACCGGGAGCAGCTGGAACAGAAACTTCACGATGGTCGGCTTGTGGGCCTCGTGTCAGTTGACTGCTCTGCCGTGGGGCACCCAATCAATCAGATCTGGTGTGTCCTCATTCCAGTCCCGATTCTGCTTGATCATATGATCCAGCAGTGGTTGATTGTTGCGGAGGTGCCGCAATGTCCGAGGTAATTTGTATGTGCATGTGCCCTTGGGCAGATGCAGCTGTGCCAAGTTGACAGGGAAACGGAGAACTCTGGACTGATCCACAGTCAGGTGTCTCTTCATGAAGCTGCCTGCCAGCTTGTCAGCCCGACAGTTGAGCTGGGCTTTCAATGGCAGTGTGTCAATTGGCCTGGATTTGTCCTGGTGGGACTTGATGTGTTCCAGTTTTGGGACTGTCGCTGCATCCCTGAATGTCTGCTCAATCTGTTGGAGGACATCCCAATCGAACGCTAGGGAATCGTTGGGGTACCATCGCAGCCGATGTAATCCAGGCAAGTCTTGCCTTTGTTCGTCACGGATTCGTTGTCGCAAAGGTGTGTGTATGGTGCCATGGTTGTTCGGTCATGGTACTGCAGGAGCCTTTTCAGGAAGCAGGCAGGCGACAAGATGCCATATGCCTCTGCCCGGTAGGACGTTGGAGTCTGTCCAAATACTGGCCCAGAGCATCTGAGCACAATGTGACCCAGCTGGTCGGCCAATACCCACGCAAAGCTTGCTTTTCCCACCGAGATGTCAGCAGCCCCGTCGCTTGCCACAAGGAAAGGCACCGCCGTAACCATGTGCATCACCGAGTAGGCGTCCACTGTGAAAAGAGGGACCGTTCCCAGGGCTTCAAGTTTGCCAGGAAACCCTCAAAGGTGTAGGGTGTGGGAGGAAGTGGGCGGTCAGGAATGCCTGCCGCGTAACCGCTTCCAACTACCACTGTTGGGCGCTGGTTGAATTTCGTCAGATCCAAAACTTTTTTCCTGCCGGAATCTGGCTGCACTGAGGTCTATGAATCTCCGCCAGGAAACTCAGGGTAGGAACACAAGAGCTGGGAGGGAGATCTCTGGTTGATGAAGATCTCCTCCACTGGCTGAAAGGCCAGCTCAAAAGAGCTGGATCAATGCTACCCAATCACTACTTCAAAGTACTTGGGGAGCTGGTTACATTGCCCTAGCACATACCACACAGGAATCTATCTACTGCAGGGCTGAAGGTGCTACTGGGACTCAGGGGTTACTCTTTCATTACTATCTTTCTTACTATAAGCTAAACATCATTACCACGATTTCACTCCAGTTGACAGAACTGGCTCTTTTGGAGAGGATATCCACAGTTGGAGATCCTAGGAGAGGACTGTTGGTCTGGAACATTCCAATGTATCTAGGCTGAAGGCTATGTATGCTCTGCAACACATAGGCATGCCTCAGCTATATACAAATTGTCACATGGCTGCAATGCTGTGTGTACTGATTGACTGTACACAATGAAAAGCATTGTTTCCATCCGACTAAACCAGCACAGCTGTGGCGCACCCATAGATGCTCCTATTGCTAATTTCATCGGAGGTGCACGATTTGGGGTAGTAGGGATCGAGCGGCACCGACTTGCTGAGCACGGTGTCACTCAAGTAAGTTTCATCCGGGAACTCCCAACGGTTGACAGTCTTTGCCTTGCCTGGAACTGGGTGTTGGAACATCCAAAACTCTGATTCTTCGCCGTCAACTTGTTGATAAACAACATTGGCGTCAACCTCGTAAAAAAATCTGTGTCGCATTCAAAGTTTGTCTGCGGAAACAAGCCATCTCCCCAAAGGCACATCTAAAGTCAAATTGGGTGCGAAGAGAGTCAGAGCCTTCCTCCAGAGAGTCCAGGAGATGCCACACCTGGGTCGCTCCTGGAATCGTTTGAAGTTTGTGGTTCAGGGCATCAGCGGGCTGGAGAAGCCATGCCAGAACTCGTCACGGACGAAGGTGCCACAGGCAGTGGCAATGTCCGCCACGGTAACAACCTGGAAATAGAGTCACACGTAGTTGATCTGTTTCAGCTCGGCCTCGGAGAAATTCCCATACCAACCAACCCAATCCATAATGTACGAGTCATGTTCACGCTGCAATGGGGGAATGTGAGCGTTGTGTACCTCAATGGTACCTCTGACGGATTGAAGGAACCTCCGTATGCATTGGAAGAGTCCAACAGGCAAATGACAGTTAATTTCGAGATCCTCCAGAATAGGCCGTCTGATGCCAGCGTGGAATTCGAGCCACGCATATGTGACCTCACTCAGATCGCCCATATCAGTACGACGAGTCTGTCAATGTTTGAGAAACTGTTGGATGACTCCAATCCCCTGCTTGTCTGCAAGGCGGAACATTTCGATTCCCCCGAGTTTCCAGGATCCATAGCAAATGACCTTTGCAGTATTCGCCCTGAACCCCATTTTCTGGAGTGCAGCTCGTCGGGGTGCCGACTCAATGGAATCAAGAACTGTGTCCTTAAAGAACGTGGTCTCCAACATATCGGCCTCCCTTCCGTTGAGCGGGGACCCCTTCAGGACCTGTGTGTAGTGCTTACACTTGGCCACGAGGACTGCCTTTGGGGCAGCAAGCTTGCCCAAGGGGCCCTTGTAACACCCCAGGGATTTGTGGTCGTCGTAGTTGGCAACAGGCTTGATGGGAGTCACAATCCCATCCACAGACTTGACGTTGATTTTCGGGGTGAAATTCACGCCCGAAACTAGCTTGGGCTCCCCACTTGGGCAGAACTCGTACCGGAGGTGGTGGAAGGAACATTTCGTGGCTTCCAGCTTTCTGCCTGATGACAACAGGAGGTCGTTCCACCACTGGGCATCCTTCATAGCCTTGCCAATCAGCTCCTCCACCGAGGGAATCTCATTGGATAACAAGCAGTTCGTTCGGGAGTTGGTGTCGTCTACGAACCCCGTCATGAACAATTGAACCCGCTTGGAGCCATCGGGGCTGGCGAAGGTTGCACCAGTCGCGTATGGCTCGAAGCAGTCGAACAGCGTACTTGAGATGAAAAGCCATAGAGCCGGGGAGTTTCCAGCTCCTTGTCCAGACCCGTTCCAAGGATCCTCCTCGGTGTGCCCCAAAATGTGACTGATGTCCCCAGAGTAGTCTTGATATGGTACTGGGCTTGTTCCAGATTCATTCCATTCACTTTGCAGACCCGTACCGGCATCCCCATCTTGCGGCTGGCAAGACTTGCAATATACATTAGGATCCGATCGTAACACGCGGCTGCATCGTGATCAATGGGTGGAGACAACACCTGGAGACCTCGTATTCCAGCTCTTCCATGTAGCAGAGGTCAATGGCAGATCTCCCCGGAACCGACCCAAATTGCCTTTGTTGATGATCCCTTGCTTAGTTGCGTGGCGAAGGACTTCTCGCCACTTGACTCCGAGAAGCAAATTATAATCTGCCTCGAATATATGGATAACTCTCAACCGGTGAATTTTACAGCCACCCTCATCCCCAAGGATGAGGGTATTGACGATCTTATTCCACCGCGAGTAAGCAAACCCCTGTTCAAGCGCAAAGTTCAGCAGCCGAAAGTGGGCCGAACCCTGCCAGTTCCTTGCCTTTATCAGAATCAGGGTCGAGACTGTGTTCCACAAAAAGGGATTTCCAATGGCCGAGATGTTGTCCAGAGGGAGAGGTTGTGGTGCGTTCGTTCCAGCTTTTTAGCTTCCCATCGAACTGTTCCTCTGTCAGTGTTGCTGGAATCTCTCCATTGCAAGCCCGGGCCAGGTGCCGAAGGAGGACTGCTCTAGCAAATGAAGTTTCGAATGGACAAATGTCATATTCACCGTCAAGGATTTCATCCGCGGTGGCAGTACTGGCAGAGAAATTGGTATCCGTTTTCAGAGTTGTGTCAGTTCGGAACTCCGTTTCCTCGGCTTGCCGAAAATGCTTGTTGAGGTGGGCCTGTAGATGCCGCTCAATTTCCTCTGGGTCTTCCACATACAACCAATCCTTACACTCCTTTGGTGGCACCGAGGGATCCCTAGGCACCTCCAAGGCTGTCAGTCCACTGCCGTTGCACTTGCCTCTGGCATGGGCGCACTTCTGCCAGGCTCTGCGGGTGGCTTCGGCACTGCGAAGTCGTTTCATCACATTTGCCATCCTGGAATCTCCATCTGACTCGTACTGAGCCTGGAGTTCCAGTTGGTACTCCTGGCGCAGGTTGTGAGTCTGTCACTCTTCCACTTCGGCTGCTCGAAGGTTCCTTTCGGGCTTGCTTCTTCCTTTTCTTGCACTCGTTCAAGGAGGTTGGCAGTACAAAACTTGGATCTGAGACGTACTGCATACATAATCGAAGCTGCAGGGTGACATCGTTCTTGCATTGCAATGCGTGGAGTGCCATCGTCAGGACTTTAAACACTTCAGTCTCAGCTGAGTCAGGGCCGGGGAACTCGGGATCGGAGAATAGGTTGGACAACACTGAGGAATTTATGCTCAGTCTCTAACCAACTTATTTTAAAATGAAGCATTTATTTAAGCCTTTTCTACCAAAGCTACACAGACTTGCGCAACTTAGACAAACACGATTTGATGAACGCAAACCACAATACTACTATTTTACTATACATCTTTACCATGGATTGTAAATATATTACAATATTCCTTCTTTTTATTGCCCCCCCCAGAGAGTATGGCATGTGTCACGAACTATTGAAACGTACACTATCACTATACGATATTTGTCAATGTATGATTCACGCTTTTGGCTTATATCTTTGAGATCACCTTTATTATAGCCTGTGCAGGATAGAGAATGTCCTATTCTTACTGGTAAACCGAAAGATATAGGGTAGAGAATTCGAATCCTGCATAAGCACGCCTTTGCACCCCATAGACAAATTTACTATATTAAGTACTGTGTGAATCTACCAAGATGTGCAGTCACGATTTGTACACTTTTACTATACGATTATTCGCCTGTGCAGGATTGGTGTTCCGTTTGGCGACTCGAAGCATGTTTCAACTGTCACCTTTATTTATGTCTTAGCAGGATACTATTTTACTCGTTAATAGAAGACATAATGTCTCTAGTTCGATTCCTGCATAGAAGTGCTTTTTGCACCCGTAGTATCTTTTACTATACGGTCTGCTGTACGAATCTACCTACATGTGCAGTCACGCATTCTCATATTGTGTCATCTGATTATAAGCAAACAAATTCGAATCCTGCATAGGACCGTTTACTATACAAAGTACTGTACGAATCTACAAGATCACGATTTGGCCAATGCTGCATAGGCCTGTGAAAAGGAATTCCGTCTCGTTCATGCAAACCACGGTTCGAATCTATAGTAAAATTGTAGGATTGTGCTTTGTTAACACGACATGGTGCTCTATCTCGCTACCTACCTTTATTACGTCCTTTATGCAGGTTTCCATCTCTTTATCTTTCTTTATCCCTAACCTTTTACTTTCAATAAAATCATTTATTACAAAATTCCATTTTCCTCAGTGGCTCCCCCTAGGGTCGTTACTTTTTGGCGGCGTGCAGGCTCGCTTGACGGAGAACCTGATCCAGCTGTTCTGCCACCTGCTGGGTTGGGTTCTGGTTGAACTTCCAGAGCCTCTGGAAGAAGCTCTGGTCATTGAGAAACTTTGCCTTAGCCCGAATGTAAGAGGTGACTTGATGCCTCTTCTTGGAGTGGACCCTGTGCTGGCAAGGCTTGGGAAGGGCCGCTGTATCCGACCCAAAAAGCTGCTTCAAATCGAAGTCCACATGCCCTGTAGATTTGATTGCAAAAGGGATGGTATCCGCAGGCATCCACCGCATCAAGAAGCTGCTCAGTTTCAAAAATGTAGTCAATGACTTTAGAGCCTCTAGAGTACGTGTTAAATCGGTAATCCCATGGTTGTAAAATACCGGGTCCACCAGTTTGCAGTCAGATACAAGTCGGGACATTCCCTTCTTTCCACTCGCCAGCTCATCATTGAAGTCTCCTCCCAGAATAATCTCGTGGCCCGCTGCAATATCCTTTTTCACGCATTCGTGCAAGTCTGAATAGTTATTTCTCTTTGGATCCAAACTGGGTCGTTCCTCCTGCACGTAGATAGCGTGCATCTGGGCAATGACTGTTCTATCGCCGGCCCTTGCCACGTCTGTGTCACAGACAGAGTACGGTATATGTTGTACACCGACAGCCTCATCCCATCCTTGCAGGACAGCACCGTCCTTGTCCATCTGCCAAGGTAATCGGCTTCAGCCTCCACCACTCGCCCCACTGAACGTCCCATGACCATGGAAAGAGTGCCCCCTGGTTTGTATTCACGGAGATGCACCTGCGGTGTGGATCCAAATGTCACTTTCTTGTGATCGAAAGCCTTGCGGACTGCAGCATGGATCTTCTTTCTGACGTTTGGTTGGTTCGTATCTAGGTTGGCTTCCTGGAAGCCAGCGTAATTAACTCCCAGAATCCCTAGTGTCTTGCAGTCTTCGTATAGCTCGCCGCCATCGGCATCGTACAAGGGAAATCCTCTCTTGTTGTTGAAAAGAAAACGCGCCACATGAGCGGGCTTTCTCGCCTGCAGTTTGTCCCCAATTGGCTCGATAATGGCGAGCAGTCCCTTGTTCGAGATCCCCATTTGTGTTTCCACCTCCCAGAGAGTCCCATAGTACGGCCTGTGCCAGGGGTTTGCTGATGATTTTTGTACCTTGCGCACCGTACTGTATGCTCTATCCTTGGATATTGTGAGATTCTATTATATCGTTTTACAATTTTAGCGACCCAGCGCGGGCAAGCATGGATCAAGCGGGGCGAGTTACTGCATCCTTCCCCTCCAAGGTCGAACGACAGTGTGACCTGGAATCGCACGTGCACCAAAAACCTTAAGCTTGTACGCGGTAAGGAAAAACACGGCGAAGATTGAGCCTCTCAGTGTTGAATGGAGCTCTCTGAACGGTGAGAGTGCCATTGGCATGAACACGTTGCACGGTGTACGGGCCATGGCTTCGTTCTTGTAGTTTGTTGGGGTTGTGTTCGCGAATGAGAACGGAGTCCCCAACTTGGTAATCATGATGACGCCTTGTTGCATTTTGTCGTCTCAGATTTTCATCAATATTGAGTTGTCGTCTGCTTTGAAGAGCATCGAGATCGGCGATGAATGGGATGTTCAGGAACATGTCTCTTCGAGACGCTAAGGATCCCGCAGTGTTGTAGTTGAGTGATTGCGAAGCTGCCGTTCGCGTAACATGCATGGCAGTAGCGAGAGCATTGCCGATGATTTCTTCTGCACGCTCGAGTTGATTGATAGGATTCCCATGTAGTAGTGTTCGTAGAATGTTGCCCACTGTTTGATGCATCCGTTCGCAGATGGCATTGGATTGTGGATTGCGTGACGTAGTCGGACTATCCTTGATGTGTGCGCGACGTAATGTTTGTTGGAACTTAAACCCGACAAACTCTCCTACACTTCTTAGGTCATGGATATCGAGCCAACCACACATTCTGAAACTGTTGTTGAACATGAGCGGCTGTCTTACTGTTAACGCGAACAAGTTCAACTAAGTTAGTCACAGGGTCAATGCAAATCAATGCGTTGAACTCTACCATTTTGTTCGCGACTGGAATCTTCCAGGGACCGACGAGGTCAACATGCACTTCTTCCCACGGCATGATGTTTGCTTCTCGAGGTGGTAACTCGCCATATTGCGCTCCTTGTAGTTTGGTTCGTTGACATACATCATATTCCATCTGTTCCACCGTTCTCCGTAAATGTGGATGATAGTACATTCGTTGGATAGTGTCGTATGTTTGACTTTTGCCGCGATGCCCCAAGATAAGGTGAAACCATCGTACTGAATCACGAAGTATCTCAGACGGCAAACAGATTTTCCATTCGTGATCAGGTTCTGTAGGATTGGACCGAAAGCAAATAAGAGGGATGTTGTCGATGTATCAGATGGGAAACTGATGTGGTTTTGTCGTGTGATGCTGCTGTAAATGGATGTCCTCGAACTGTTGCTGTTGGATCAGACGGGAAGTTAATGAAACATTCCGCGAAATTGATATCAGCCCACAAACTTTCGATGTCAATAGCCGATGACTTCCCCTCCAAAGGTGGATCCATACGCGGCAGTTGCGAGAAGGCATCCGCAAGAACATTGGAGTTACCTTTGATGTAATGGTACGTGGCACCGTATTCTTCAAGGAAAAGCCTTCAACGAAGAACACGAGAGCTGTTGAGGGTTCGAAAGGTGAGGTTCTTGTGATCGATGCCGATTTACACGTCTGCAGTGCTCTATCCTTGGATATTGTGAGATTCTATTTTATCGTTTTACAATTTTAGCGACCCAGCGCGGGCAAGCATGGATCAAGCGGGGCCAGTTACTGCACCGTACAGCACCATACGAATTAAAAGCTTCAAAGATCCTGCAGTTAAGGAATGCGATGATACAAAAAGTCTATTAACGGATTCAGACAAAAAAAATCAAAGTCTATTAACGGATTCAGATAAGATGTGCTGGAGGATGACCCACGAGCCGAGGCCCGGGTATTTCCCACAGTTAAGTCCGCTCCCCGGCCACATGCGCCCCCAAAGGGTGTGCAACTGCTTTATGGGATCAAAATGAGCAAACTCTATGGCTACACCACTGGAACCATGGTGGATGCTCATTCTAAGTGTTGAAAGGTGGTGGTCTTTCGCGAACACAAGGGAACTTGAAATGATAGAAGTTGGAGGTAGGCAGTTGAAACAAGGTAACTTCTTCATCTCTCTGACGCATATTGCTTTGATAGCTGTAGACGTTCTTAACTGATAAATGTGTAACAATAATATACTTTGTGACTTTGGGGACGAGACAAAAACCTCTGGGGAAAATTCTCTCTAGAACTGACAAATATGGAATGAAGATGGGGGAGATTTTGGGGATTTGTACAAGCTGAGGAAATATCATATTGGGATTGCGAAGGGAGTCGTTGGGCTCTGTGGGGTGCCGGTTGGTTGCTGTTGATGTTGTTGATGTTGTTGGGTTGGTGGGGGGTCTGCAGATAAAATCTTAAGGTGGAGGGGCGTGTCGTTTTTGTTTTTGGTTTAAGGTTAAAGTTTGCCAGGCAAAGCAGCAAAAGGTCATTGACAACGAGAACGAAGAGGACGACAATGGTGCGTTTCTGACTGCTTTTTGAGATCTTTGTTGGCGACTAAAGAGCTTTCGCTCATTGGAGGTACACTGTTGATTGCTGGTGCTTGGAAGGATTTCAAATGATTTTGTAGAGGAGCATTTGACGTTTCGTGACTCAATTCGAGTGGCGGGGAAAGAAGTTGATGTTCTTCATGCAGTTGATTATTTGTTGGACAGTTTCAAATAGCTATAGAAAGTTCTATAACTTATTGTGATGGTGCTATGGTGTTGTAGTGTGGAGGTTTGCTTATGATATCTGGGACAGCTACTGTGCTATAACACATCGCGGTAGCGCTTTTCCGTTTCAATCCCGAAGGAAAAGTATTAACGGATTCAAATAAGACGTGCTTGAGGATGGTCCACGAGCCGAGGCCCAGGTATTTCCCACATTCAAGTCTGCTCACCGGCCACACGTGCCCCAAAGGGTGTGCAACTGCTTTATGGGATCTAAATGAGCAAACTCTATGGCTACACCATTGTGCAATACACGGCCTATGCCTTATCGTGACACGGTCCTAGACGGGACTTGAGCTGACTCAAAACTGAGTATTTTGTGGATAGTCATTGAGACAGGGTTCTCAATCACCCATAGTCATACTAGGTCAATGCAGAAGCATCGCTCCAAAGAATTAGCCAACGTGAAGTAGAACTCACGCTGCTAGTTATTTTCTAGACTAGAGCTTCCACGTGTTCCAGAATGGATCGTGGAGTACATAGACTGACAGTAGTAATCTACGATATCGCACTTCATATCATACTTCCAGGTCCCCAAGGGAGTCTTCATCCTCCCTCATGGCCTCGAGCTTCAGGTCGCAGCTCTCTTTGATTAGTTTTCATAGCTTTCTAATCTCTCATAATATTCATTCTCTCACAACTCGCTGCTGGCCATTCTCAACAATCAGAAGGCCCACAGATTCCTTCTAAAGCTGTTTATCACGAAAGTACATAGCCATTTGATGTGTCTTGTAATTGAACCTTATGACAGATGAACTACACTTCAAGCTCCATGGGCAAATCATCCGTGAGGTTATCCTGGTGACTGTCAGTAAGTAGATCCATGCTACCCTGGGGTGTTTTCAGAACAGGTTTCGAATCCTGCATTCCCAAATCGCTTCTCAAGAATACTTTCCAGGGACCATTCTCTTTTTCAGTGACTTCAGACCCCGCTCGGGCATAGCATCCGGGGTGCATCAATCCTGATACATAGGTGTCGCTAAGCGTAAGTCCATTGAGGTCGAGATAATGTCCGCTCACATGGGAGCTGTCCACAATTGTTCTTCCTTTGAAATGCAAGCAACTGAACTCATAGATAGCATTGCCAAAGTACCAGAGGTCTCCTTCAACATCTGCTCCCATGAATCGTGCATAGTAACCAAACATTGGGGTTCCGTAAAGAAGCATCTCCAGCCAGTTTCCCACACGAAAGTACCAGACATGAGTGAGGTAAACTCCGTAAAGATCTTGTTGGGCTTGGGTTGGGAGATGGATCAAAATAAACTCCGCAATCCTGGTAGAAAGAATCCATATGGCCAATTGCAACAGAACCGCAAGAGCCAAGCCAAATGCCACAATAACTGGGGAAGAGCTTGTTGTAGCTGCCAGACCAATCTCGTAGGAAGGTATGATAGATGCAAAAACGACCACATTCATAAGCTGAAGAGCCACTTCTTCTTGCAGCATGGGTGGCTTCTTTGGAAACTTTCCTACTTGGTTCAAGTCATAGATACTGTCAGACACATTAGACCTTGGTGGGATTGTGGATTGAATTATCTTGACTCCTGCATGTAGATTGGCACCATAGCCAATGCTGCTACTGATGATCTCAATCTTGGATTTCCCTTGTTTGCTGAAGTCGAGTGACATGGTGGCAACAAATGATGCTCGGATCTTTACAAAATCAACTTTTGAAGGTAGGAAGACAAAGTATGGACCACTCAGAGTTGACACCATGTCAACATCAAGGCCATGGAGGAAAAGAATGATGTTCCATATTCTTGATTGCCCAAAAAAGGGAATAAACGACCAACATGCTGTGCGGAAGTGGAAGTCACATGCCCAATTGGTTGCTCGGCGCCAGAGAGACCCCTCATATTCATCCGCTGGATCTCTTTTGCCAATCAAGAGCCATTTGAGGGCAATGCTTGTCATGAGGGCAAGAAAGGATGTCATTGGAAGCAGCAAGATCCAATGAAGAATGCCCCCATATCGCCATGATGGTAATATTATGTTGAGTGTGGTATGAACCAAGAAGGAGAGTGCGAAGAAGTGGTATGCTTCGAGCGTTGTCCAAAGAATCTTGAACCCATCCACCATGGACGCTTCGGAACTCTTTGATTTGGTGTGCTCAAATGAGCCTGCATGACATGCTGGGTTTCCTTTGGCAAGCACATCATGTGGGACCATAGCACCCTCATCCACAACAGAGAGTTTCTCCACCTTGCTTCCATCTCCAATCTTGGCTCCAGGGCTGACCATACCAGAGATTGTGCAGTCCTTTCCGATCGTAATTGGTCGGAAGGTCAACTTTGGATCTGCATCCAATGTTTGAGAGAACTTTCGACACTTCATTGGGTGGCCAATGACAGTATTGTCGCCAACTGTCACGAGGTCAAACTCACGAAAATAGGCTTCAATCTTGGAAGACCATGCCAGATCTGCCCCTAGAAGCCTATAGAAGATCCAAATGTACTTGGTCTCCACAAAAAATTGTCCCACAATAGCTTCCCAAAGATCAATGAGCCTGTCCACAAACCACCAGCGAACATAGTCCCAAGATAAGAGATCAAACTGTTGATGCCTGTATTTCCCCACTACAGTAACCTTGCAGATTACGACCATCGCTGACAGTGACAGTAGGAATAGGGGGAAAGCTATGGGCAAGAAGGCCCATGAGATTGGATCATTACAGCCTCCACCTTTGGATGAGCCACATTGGTTCATCACCCAGGAAATAAGGAAGATGGATGGAACCAATGAGCCCAAGAGCAAGATAAGAATCACAACATATCCAAGAGTTTGGATTGCTCCTAGCTGTAGCTTGCTGAGGTTTGATATTTTTGAGCTCCAAAGGAAGTCCGGGTGATTGCACATGTCTTGCTTGGGGAATCTTTTGCTCTCTGATGCTTTCAAGAAGACTGAAAGCTCACTTGGTGAAGGGTAGAGCTGTTCAAAGTTTGCTGGAAGGACCACACCCAACTGTTCCTCAACCATGTTCCTCAGCTCTGCACTCTTTAGAGATGTGAGCCCATTCTCTGTCCATGTCTTGGATGAGTCGACCTCTGATCCAAAAACAGACATAATTATATCGGAGTATCTGCTTGAAAAGTTATCGCTTGTGGGTGCTTGCATGTCTGACTGTCCGTGATCAGCTACTCCAAGTTCACTCAAGATATTTGATGGAACAATCGTCTCTCGCTCAAGCACAGGGTGTGGCTTCATGCCAACGTCCTGTAGCACAGAGTTGGATGCCAGGATTCCACTAACAATGGCGTCCTCATGTAGCATTGTCCCTCGTGTCCATCCACCAGCAAAATAGGTAGATCGATTCCCTTGGTGCTGCAACAAAGAGTTTCGGAGCTCAATGGCCTTGCATGTTATTCTGGTATGAGTGAATGACATTTTCTCCACTGGCGAATCAAACTCAAGCTCTTCATATGTGTTATAGGCATGTGTAACATAAATTGGTGTTTTGCCATCTGTGTCTGCAGGTTCCGAGCAAGGTGGTCCAATAGTTAGAACAACAGACAGCATCTCGGTGCAAAATGGATTCTCACGTGATACCTACCACTTGGGAATGATGTCGTCAAAGGGATGGTGTCAGAAGCTGCAGGTAAACTTGATTTGCCGCAATCCAGGATATTGGCAAACAGAACGCATGGTTTCTTGTTGTCAATCCATTTTGAATCTGTGTGCATCACAACTGTCTCCAGGGGGCATTTAAACTCAGTCAGAACAGTTTCATGTGGTGACATGGAATCTTCAAGAACATGGGCAGCTGCATTTGGTGGAACTGCCAACACCAGCTTGTCAACCTTCAGAAAATCTTCGTTACCACAGGGGCCTGTGCAAAGTGTGACTCCAGAATCATCACGGCTGGCTACCTTGGTGGCCACATTTGTCTTGATTTCAACACCAAGGTTGTGCAACTGTGCCCAGAAAGCCTCCATGTATTCTCTGTTGCTCATGCGAAGGAGGGCCCTGTTCTTGACAAAAACAATTATAACAAACCAAGCAACCAGCTCCAATGGAATGTTGAGGTAGTCTTGAATGGACTGCCCAGCAAAAAAGCTGACAATTCTGCCAACATAAAAGTACACAATGAAGTGCTGATCATATCCATTCTGGTCAAGGAATTGTCCAATTGTCTCATTCTGACCAGAACCAGCCTTGTGAATGCGTTGCATCTGAGCAATGAAGCGGCCGATTTCTGATTCTGGAACCTCAGGAATAGGCTGAGACTTTTGAGAAACCAAACCTCGTGCTTGCCTTGACTCGCCAAGATGAATTGGTGTCACCCCAAGCTCCTCTGTCAGTTTCATTAGGTTTGGCGACTCTTGTGCAACAAAAACTCCGAAAGCCGGATTGCGTTCATGCCCAAAAACTTCCACGTGTCTAGCATGTCCACCAATATTCTCATTCCGTTCCAGCAGTGTGACTTTGATTTTTCGTTGAGCCAATCTGAGCGCAGCAATGAGACCGGCAGCCCCAGCTCCCACAACAGCAACATGGAGCTGTTTTTCATCGTCTTCCTCAATGAGATAAGGTTCTTCAATACTGCTGTCAATCATGTTTCTCATTGATTTGAAGTCAAACGAACTCATTGACCTACGCTTGATTTTGCGTTGAGTTTCTTCAGCCAAATAGAACTCGCTACTGGCAATACCTTGATTTGCAAAAGAGTTCTCAAGAAAGGAAGATCTCTTTCGAGAAGCAAGGGGGGCAGCAACTTCCTTCCGCTGGAAATGAAGGAGTATAGAAGCTTCCTTCCAAACACCAGCAATTGTAGTCTTCCTAATCTCACTCCTCTTCAGCTTCCCAGAGGTGGTCTTGGGTGTCACGCCAAGCTTGAGGACAATAACCTCAGAGGCAAACAGCCCATGCACCTGAGATACATGGTTGGCTATCTGGACAGCCAAGTCTTGATTTCCTGACTTGTCGAACCCCTTGCGGCCCTCCACTGTGATACCAACACTTGCATCTCCATGCTGGAAAGCACTGGTTCTTCCTGAGCGGATCACATCTCCAAAAGTTTCATCAATAAAGAGCTCCACATCACTTGGATAGTAGTTCTTTCCATTGATGATGATGACATCTTTCATTCTGCCAGTGATGTACAGCTGCCCATCAACAATCTTTCCCAAATCACCAGTGTCAAGCCAGGTGCCATCATAGCCAGGCAATGAATTGGCAAAGGTAGAGGTGGTTAACTCAGACTGGCCATAGTACCCAGCAGCCACACGGGGAGACTGGGCCCAGATGCTTCCAACCTGTCCTTCTTGAACCTCTTTTCCATCCTCAACAATTCTTAGCTTCACGGATGGGGAGTCCACAGCACCACAGCAGACAAGCCCCTCAGAGTCAGGGTAGGCAGAGCCACCTGTGAGGAACACCACAGACTCAGTGAGACCATAGATGTTGTAGACATTTTCAGGCTTGATGGAAAGGGTCTTTACTGATGCATCCACAACGTGGCTCTGGGCGGGTTCACCGCCAAACATGGCACGCTTTACACAACTCCAGTTGGCTTTTCGGTTGGCCTGTTTTAACCGTTTGAGGAGCAAGGCGTAGGCAAAGTTTGGGGCACATGTAAGATTTGCCTGGTATTTCTCCACCATGTCAGTCCAAAGCAGTGGATTGGCAACAAAATCCAGAGGTGATGCCATGACAAGATGAATACCAGTGTAGAGGGAAGACATGAATCCAGCAACAAGGCCCATATCTTCAGTCACCAAAAGCAAGAAAATATGATTAGCAAATCTGCCATGAAACCAGTCCAGACAAAACAAGTTTGGGCTTACCATGGTATTGTGGAACCCACAGGGCCGCCACAGTGGAAGAATCTACATCGGACATACTGCCAACAGCCCTGCAATTTTCTACCAGGTTATGGTGGCTGATCATGACTCCTTTAGGTCGGCCCGTACTACCAGAAGTGTACTGGATGAAGCAGATATCATCAGGCTCGCTATTGTAGGTCTCGAATCCTTTTGGCTTTTTGGGGTTGCTTTTCTTGACTGGTAGTTTATCGGTTCCAATCCACGTAACACCAGTCTTGTAGAGGACACTGACTGCAGTCATGGCAGTAGCAAAAGCAGAAGTACTGAGAGCATACTTGGCTCCGGCATCCTTGGCAAATCCACGGAACTTGGGCATATCCGTCTTGAGCTGGTTGGGATTGGGTGGGTAGATGGAGCAGGGGATGACTCCGATTTTCATAGCACCGAACATGCCAGCCAAGAACTCGAGGCCGAAGGGGTATGCCACCATGACACGATCGCCCCTTTGGCATCCGAGCTTGAGGAGACGAGTCGCAACGGCATTGGATGCATCCTGTAGCTGCTGGAACGTCAGCTTGTTCTGCTCCTCGCACTTGATGTCAACCCAAGTAAAGACGACCTTGTCAGGTGTCACTGTGGCATGGTGGTTGAGGGCCTGGAGGATGGTGGAATGGAACTTCATTGTTTGCAACTTCGTTTGGTGATGTCTTTGTTGAATGCGGGAGTTATTATGGGTCAGACTCGAGGGCATTGAAAAAGCGAAAAAGTGTGGTCGGAACTGTAAGTTCCTCACTTGTATTTTTTGGTTGCCCTTTCCTGCACAGGGTCTTGGTTCGGGGAAGTGCGGGGAAGTCTGCAAAACAGCGTTTGAATACAGGTATATGTGGTAATATTAAAAGGTTTTTATCTGAGATCTTACCACAACTATCTATTTGGATAACCTGGTTTGCGATTGGGTCTTGGTAAAGAGGCTCGGACCAGCGAAATAAGATGCCTGCGCCAAGAAGAGGCCTTATTACAAAAAACGTTCTGAAACTCCATGCTTATACTGTACCTGGGTGGTACAGTACTCTACTGGTACCATACTTTGCATGCTCGACTCGTCACTCGCAAGACAGCGGAAAGCTGCACTTCACTGGCTACCAGTAGCTACCGTAGCTACATAACAGCTAGAGCATAAATTTTTCTGTCATCCCCACTGGTTATCACCACCTGCAATTCCGTCATCAATACCGTCCCCGCGGTAAAGTACATAGGCGCCATACATGTAGTTATCACCTGTTCTGTCATCAATACACTCGTACCGTATACCGGCTACTCCAGTTCTGAGATCAATACCGGTCCCGCATGTGAATGATGAATCAATCGAATCAGTCGAATCAATCGAATCGAATCGAATCGAATGACTCAATCTTCTCTGAAAGGATTCTCTTTTAGGCAGCGGTACAGTCGTAGCCGCCGCGCAAAGTCGAGAAGTCTCTTTTTGTATCTTCGAGCGTCCGATGACAATTAACGGGAGACAATGGCTGCTCATGGATAAGGTTGCGGCTGCATGGGGGAACAGGACAAAAGAACAACTGCAATTGTTTGCCGCTGTTATCACGCACAGTTTTCGAGGAAACGCCCACTGGTGCATCATCAGAATCCCACCATTACGGCATGTTACCTCGTCTGTCGGCGACATTGACCGCAGGCGCCACCATCACAACAACGACAACACTCGGCGAATTGATTGAATTGGCACTACGGTACGGTACTGACGCAGTGAACGAAGCCGAGCCCTCCTACGGTAGCATTGGCTGTATCCACAGCCGCAGTCCAGTCACCGAGGCTACTGTACGTTCGGAGTTTTTGGAAAACACTCGCAAAATCCGCCTTCAGTTGACGACCAATGGATTGTTGTAAATAGTAGTATCAGTAGTAGCAGTCGCCGTTGTTGCTGTCGGCTTAGTGGTTGTTCGGATCCTCGATCGGTGTGTTGTTGACTGGCAAAATTCGCTCCGGTGGGGATATAGCGCTTTTCCTGTCGCTCCGATACCGGTATGCTTTGGCCTTCGTGCACAATCGCTCGTTCCGCCGTTGCCGCGGCTTGTTGTTAACAGTATGCATAGAAGCGGTAGCAGTAGCCGATGTGTTGTTTCGGCGTGCCGATGGATGCAACTCGATCGACACGATAGACTGTAGAAGCGGTAGCGAGTGTTGCCAATCTTCTTTTTGTTGCAGCGGTAGCGGTAGCGACAGCCTGTAGTTGTTATGCATCGTTCGTTCGTTCGTTCGTTCGTTCGGTGCGACTCTTGTTGTTGCGACTCTTGTTGTTGCGACTCTTGTTGCCTTTCCTCGAAAAGTCTGAAACTCCTTCCCTGTTGCGTTCGACGTCACTCTTCGAGGCCTTGTTGCTCCATGGTAGCTCCTCTTGCGGTCGAGGATGATAACAACAACGAACGAAAAGAACGAACACGTTTTTTAATTGCGATCCAATACGCGAACAAAAAGAACGAACACGTTTTTTGCGACGCGGCTTCGAAGACGACCACGGTGTCACTCAAACCAAGTCGCGGAGGAGCTGCAGTAAACGAAGTTTCTGCGGAGGATTAGTGCCGCTGCAGCAGGATCGACCTGCAGGATCGACCGCTGGAGACTAGAGGGCTATAGGGAGCCATTGGCGACAGACAGCACGACCGCATGCGGTCGACGATGATGCGGGAACACAGGCCACTAGCTACGGAGGCCTGGTTGGTGTTGTTCACAAGACCATCTGTAGTGGCAAGGGAGCCATGAAGCACGGGTAGAGTATCTGATCATGTAAGTGCATAACCCTTTGATGTGTGTGTGTGTGTGTGTGTGTGTGTTTTTAAAATTAATAAACTTAATACTAGATGTTCTACACATCAAGCTCTGTATGCACCTCATCCGTGAGGTCATCCTGGTGACTTTCGGCCAGTCGGTCCATGCTACCCTGGGGTGACTCTTTCAGAACAGGTTTCGAATCATGGACACCCAAATCGCTTCTCAAGAATACTTTCCAGGGACCATTCTCTTTTCCATTGACTACAGACCCAGCACGGGCGTAGCATCCGGGGTGCAACAATCCTGATACATAGGTGTCGCCAAGGGTAAGTCCATTGAGATCGATGTAATGTCCGCTCACATGGGAGCTGTCCACAATTACGCTTCCATTGAAATGCAAGCAACCGTACTCATAGATAGCATTGCCAAAGTACCAGAGGCAACCATCCACCTCCGCTCCCATGAATCGAGCATAATAGGAAAACATGGGAGTACCAGAAAGGAGCAGTTCCAGCAAATTTCGAACACGAAAAAACCAGACATGGTTGATGTATACTCCGTACAAAGATTCTTGAACCTTGCTTGGGAGGCTCAGCATCAGCCATTCAATCATCCTTGTAGAAAGAATCCACACACAAAGCAGTGTGAAAAATGCCGCAACAAAGCAACACATGGCGATCCATGTTGAGGATGTTTGGGTAGCATGATAAACAATCTCACAGGAAGGTATGAAGGTTGCAAAGAGGACCATGTTGAGTGCTTGTTGTGGCAATTCTGGAAGAAAGATGTTCATGAGGATGGGTGATTTCGATTTTGGTGTTGCTTTGTTCAGATCATAGACACTGTCGGACAGATTGGTCCTTGGTGGGATCGTTGATCTCACTATCTTGACACCCGAGTGAAGATTAACATTGTAGCCCACACTACTGTTGATGATCTCAATTTTGGAGTCAGCTTTACAATCAAAATCAAAGGTGATGGTTGCGACAAAGGACTTCCGGATCTTCACAAAGTCCACCCTTGAAGGAGAGAACTTGGTGAATGGAGTGAAATTTAGTTCTGATCTCAAGTCAACATCAAGACCATGAAGGAAAAGAATGATGTTCCATAGTTTTGAGTGGCCAATGAATGGAGTGATGGGCCAAGCAGCTACACGGAAGTGGAAGTCACAGACCCAGTTGGTTGCTTGCCTCCACAGTGAACCTTCATATTCATCGGATGCATCACGTTTCCCAATCAGAAACCATTTGAGTGCAATGCTTGTGAGGAGACCAAGGAAGGAGGAGAACGGAAAAAGCAGGAACCAATGGAGAATGCTAGCATAGCGCCACGATGGCAAAATTTTGTTGAGTGTGGCATGAACCAGGAAGGATAGGGCAAAGTAGTGATATGCTTCAAGGAAAAGCCATACTATCTTGAAGGCATCCAAAAGCGATTCTTCCCAGTACTTTGAATTTGAAGGCTCAAAAGAGCCAGCATTACATGCTGGATTGCCTCTGGCAAGTACTCCATCTGGCACTTGAGACCCTTCTTCAACAACAGACAGTTTCTCCACCTTGCTGTCATCACCAATGGAAGCACCCAGGCTGACCATCCCCGACACCTGGCATTTTTCCCCAACCATGATTGGTCGGAAGGTAATCGTTGGACCTGTTTCTCTTGACTGGGAGAATTTCCTGCACTTTACAGGGTGACTGATGACAGAGTTGCCACCAACTTTCACAAGATCAAATTCCCGAATAAAAGATTTGATCTTTGTTGTCCTTGCCAAGTCTGCTCCAAGAAGCCAGTAGAAGATCCAGATGAATTTTGTTTCCACAACAAGATGTCCAACAAGAGATTCCCAGACTTCCACAAGTCTGTCAACAAACCACCATTGAAGGTAACCCCAAGACAGGACTTCAATCTGTCGGTACAAATATGTCCCAGTGACTGCATACTTGCAGAACACAACAATGATGGAAAAAGAGAGAATGTACAGAGGAAAGGCCAGGGGCAAAAGAAGCCAAACACCTGAGCTGTTGCATTCTCCAACTTTGGTGGAGTCACACTGGTCCATAAGCCAGGACACAAGAAAGTAGGATGGTACAATGGAGACAACAATCAGTAGGAGAATCACAATTGAGCCGAGGCTTTGGAGCCATGCTAGCTGTGCCTTGCTCAACCTAGATCTTGAGGAGTTCCAAAGAAAGTCAGGGTGATTGTAAATCTCTTTCTTTGGAAATGTTTCCATCTCTGATGCTTCCAAGAAGTTGGAAAGTGCCTCTGGTGTTGGGTAGAGCTGTTCAAAGTTGGCAGGGAGAACTACATGTAGCTCTTCCTCAATCTTGTTTCTAAGCTCTGCACTCTGAAGGGAAGTGAGCCCATTCTCAACCCATGGTTTTGATGTGTCAATTTGTGAACCAAAAACAGACATTATTGTGTTCATTGACCTGGCAGACACTTTGTCTGGGACCGCGGATCCAGCAACTGCATTACCATGCAACCTGGGGTCTGCAGTGCTTGTCTTAGCTGGATGGTTTGCCAAACCCCACTGGTCAAACTTTGACAGCCAGAAATCTTCGTCAAGCGCAAGTTGATGTTTGCTCTCTGGTTTCAGTGGGATATATCCGCACTTTTCTGCACAGGAGAGGTTCAGCTTCCCAAAATAATGCAGTGCTCTTCTTGACAGGATTGGTTCATTATGAAACTTTTTACACATCAGCTTCCTGCCCACCGCCTGTGTAGTCAGGTGCAGACTAATCAACCTTGCATAGAAGAAATGTGCATTGACATCGCCAATGATGCTAGGTAGGAGCAATTTCGACAAGAACCAGCTGGAAGAATTTTTGTCTCCGGCCCCTGAAATAAGAATCAACAAGGTAGCACAAGAATGAGATTTTACCATAACTCCCAAGATGGCATTGTTGAAAAAGGCAACTTACAGGCCACAATATGCATATCCCAATCAATGTACAGATTATTTAAAGCACTTGTATCACATGCATGCTCCATCAAAACCTTCTTGGATTGGGTTGTGGCTGTAAAAACAGGATTCGTAGCAAGTCTCCTACCAACTTCTGAGTTGTCCTTGTGTCCATTTTTTTGCTCAACCCAAATAGCCTCTAACATGTTTAAACACAGGAGGTTATTGATTCTTCCAACCTGTACATTGATGGTTGGGCCTTCAGCTGATCCCAAGCTTTGTAGGACAAGGTTCAGTAGTGCAACAACGGACCTGTTCTTGATCCAAAGGAAGAACGGCAACTTCCCATACATTGAGTCTCTCTCTGGGAGGTTCAGCATCTCTTGTAGCTCAGTTGGGACTGTCTGAGTAGTCTGATGAGTGTCTTCCCACTCTGCATCCTTCTGCAGCTTTTGCTCCATGCACGCTGAGTTATCCATCATGAATGTTGTCGCCCATTGAAGAACAAAGATTTGATGCACAAGTTGAGAAAGGAAATCTGTTCTGTTATCAAGCAAAATCCAGTCAGGATTTTCACTGAGAGTCTTGGCAAGCTGGCAGATGGTTGGGTGCTTGTCCTCGAGATGCTTCAATACTTGGGCGCACATGGCTTGAATTACAGCTGTTGTCTTCATAGCTTTGGACCACGCTTCTTCAATGCCAGAGACCCCAGAAAGGTGAAGCTCTGAGAAATACTCTTCCAACTTGCTGGGATTGCACTCTACAGCTTGAACAGCTTGAACAGCTTTGCTGGGGAGGATATTTGTTTGGATAAGGTTGGTGTCAGAAAGCTCATCCAGACTGCCAAGGTCAAGGGACCCAAATGGTAGAGTCATTGATCTTCTCCTGATTTCATGTTGAGTTTCTTCTGACAAATAGAACTCACTGCTTGTTACCCCATTCAATGCAAAGCTCTGCTCAAGGAAAGAGCTTTTCTCTACAGATGATATGTTTGTCTGCATAGGTGATATGTTTGCCTGTCGTTGGAAGCTTAGGAGCACAGAAGACTCCTTCCAATCACCAGCAATAGTAGCCTGTCTGATCTCACTTCGCTTCAGCTTTCCAGAGGTCGTTTTAGGTGTCACTCCGAGCTTGAGAACAACAACCTTTGCAGCAAACAATCCATGCAACTGAGATACATGATTGGATATCTGAACAGTCAAATCTTCATTTGCTGTCTTGTCGAAGTCCTTGCGGCCCTCCACCGTGATCCCAACACTGTCCTCCCCATGCTGGAAAGCACTGGTTCTTCCTGGGCGGATCACATCTCCAAAAGTTTCATCAATAGAGAGCTCCACATCTGTTGGGTAGTAGTTCTTGCCATTGATAATGATGACATCTTTGACTCTCCCAGTAACATAGAGCTGTCCATCAACAACCTTGCCCAAATCACCAGAATCAAGCCAGCTGCCATCATAGCCTGGTAAGACATTGGCAAAAGTCGCAGCTGTTAGCTCAGGCTGGCCATAGTACCCAGCTGCCACCCGGGGTGACTGGGCCCAAATGCTTCCAACCTGCCCTTCTTCAACCTCTTTTCCATCCTCAACAAGTCGAAGCTTTAGGGTTGGGGAGTTTACTTCACCACAGCAGAGAAGCCCTTCAGAGTCAGGGTAGGCAGAGCCACCTGTGAGGAACACCACGGACTCAGCAAGCCCATAGATGTTGTAGATATGATCAGGATTGATGGAAAGGGTCTTTGACACTGCATCCACAACGTGGCTTTGGGCAGGTTCGCCCCCAAACATGGCTCGCCTTACACAGCTCCAGTCGGCATTTCGGTTGGCCTGCTCTAAGCGTTTGAGGAGCAAGGCATAGGCAAAGTTGGGGGCACAAGTAAGGGTGGCCTTGTAGGTCTCTACCATATCACTCCAAAGAAGAGGATTGGCCACAAAGTCCAAAGGAGATGCCATGACAAGGGAAGTACCAGCATAGAGTGTAGTCATGAAGCCTGCCACAAGCCCCATATCTGTAGGAGCAAAAGGAAGATACAAAAATGAGAGGATTGTAGCTTTTGAAACCCCAGGATGGGCAGCAACAGATTTGAGCTTACCATGGTATTGTGGGACCCACAAGGCTCCCACTGTAGTGCCAACATTCGAAGCGTTTGTACCAGACATGGCAGAAATAGCAATGCAATTTTCTGCAAGACTTTGGTGACTGATCCTGACTCCTTTGGGATGTCCAGTACTGCCAGAGGTGTATTGGATAAAGCATATATCTTCTGGCACTCCCTCGAAATTCTCGTAATCTTTGGGCTTGTTGCGGTTGCTCCTCTTGATTGATAGGATATCTGTTCCAATCCACTTCACTCCAGTCTTGTAGAGGATGCTAGCTGCAGTCATGGCAGTAGCAAACATGTTAGTCGAGAGAGCATACTTGGCTCCAGCATCCTCCGAAAATCCACGGAACTTTGGCATATCAGTTTTAAGCTTGTTGGGATTGGGTGGATAGATGGAACAGGGGATTACTTCAATCTTCATGGCTCCAAACATTCCAGCCAAGAACTCGAGGCCAAAGGGATAGGCAATCATGACACGGTCTCCCTTTTGGCATCCCAGCTTGAGGAGACGAGCTGCCACCGCATTCGACTCATCTTGCAGCTGTTTGAACGTCATCTTGTTTTGTTCTTCACATTTGATGCCGACCCAGGTGAAGACGACCTTGTCGGGAGTCCTGGATGCATGGTGGTTGAGGGCTTCTAGGATGGTGGAATGGAACTTCATTGTTTGCTTCCTTCGTTTGCTGATGTCTTTGTCGAGTTGAAAGATCAGAAAAGTGTGGTTACAAGAACCAGGTATTGATTCCTTTGTTTGGGTGCGTGCACGGTTCCTCACTCGGTATTTTTCGTGGAGCATTTGCTGCACAGACAACGTCTTCGTTCGGAAAACCAGGTTTTGGGTTTTTGGATGGTTACGCCTTCACCGGTTTGGCTCAAGCTGCAATTGGGTTTGACTTCTGTGTCGCAGTGTGAATGTGTGAATGGACTCCTTAAAACCTTCGAGACAAGGGAAAAGATGCCACAGATTCGATTCGTTCCTTACAGTCGAGTCGAGTCGAGTCAGTGGTTAGTTTCGGTGGTTACCTGGTACGCTGTACCTGGTACATGTACTCGAGTACGGACAGCTCTGTTCGACTGCTAACCTCAAGGTGGGTTCAAAAAGAACAGTGGAACAGAACTTGAAGGTGTCACAGCATGCCCGCTGGTTGTTGTCCTTCCTGCAATTCTGGCATCGATGCATGCAGCATTCCTTCAAAAATCGAATGTGAGCATGATTGAATCGAATTGAGTCGAATGAATAGAATAGAATCAAAAAGATATCCTTCAACGCATCTGACATGGATGACATCATCCAACCTGTTCCCTGTCAAAGATCCAAAGATATCTTTTCCCTCATTTTTCTTTTTTGTTCGGCTAGCTAACATAGTTGGATCTACCTCTCATTTCCTTTCTGACACTGCAACTCTACTAGAACAGAAAGCATGACCCGCCCTCAAATCCCGTTATTAATCAAGCCTTGCTAAGGTATCTGGTCGACTTATAGACGGCTAGCACGCTAGATATCTAGCTAGCAGCTAGCTAGCTAGAGGAGAAAGAGGTGTGAGCTATCTCTAATCTGATACCTCGTATACCTGATACCCCTTTTTCTGTAAAACCCGGAACTTCAAGGAATTGCTACCCCCAAGCATAAACGAGATATCAAGGCACTTATTGTGTTTTGTGTTCGTGCCAAGATGGCCACTACCATTATCCGTTCTTCTCCAGGTCACTCGATTTCTACGAATGACGATATTAGTGGTTTTCTGTGGGGTCTGGGGCTTTCTACCACAGCGACAGTTGCCGTGGGGAGCTTTCTGGCAGCTGCTAGTACTAAAGGTACTACGAGTGAAGGAACTAAGGAATCTCTCTGGAGCAGCCTGAAGGTTAGTGCCGCCCATTTTTGGAGGGACATTTTCATTCTCCCCTTGAAATGCTGGGTGCTCCGGCATTGGTTTTTCCCCCACAATAAGCACGTTATTTTATTGCCTGCCGATAAAACGGCGAAGACGTTGGCAGCAGCATCCAGTAGCACTACGACGATACGAAGCGAACAGCATTTTGAGCATTGGACCCTTTTGATCATTTTTCCAGGCCACGGCTGTCCGCCAGAGCACTATATTCCCATTGCCCAAGTCCTGCAGGAACAAGCCCGACGCAGTCATCTCAAATTGGTGGTGGGAATTGTCGCAGGGAATGAGAGGTTGCAAAAAAAATCCTCGTGGTGGTCTTGGAGTATTTTTCGCTGGGCATTGGACCATGGGAATCCTACTGTCTTGGCCAATTGGATCCAACTTTTAGCTGAGGAAGCGGTTCTGTCAGGGAAAAGTTCTACGGATGAGAATCCTTCTTCCTCACTGAGCACTGCGGCACTGCGGCACATTTACAATCCACACCTCCGACCACAAATATTTCAAGACTTGTTTGTGTGGGGACATTCTTCTCTCGGTGGACAGCATGCTATCCGTGCTGCCTATTCCTCCAAATTTCGGGGACTATTATTGTACGGGTGCTCATTGGCCACATGTTGTCCTCAGACGGGACGGCAGAGGAGACCTGAATCGATACAAAATGCACTTTTGGCCAGTTATCCACGTCCCGTTTTGACCATGGTGGGAGCTCGAGATGGCCATTTCCGATGCTTGCGAGTGGCATCGGAAGCACAAGTTTTGCAACGGGATATTCAAAGACAATCCGACAATTTTGGTAGTGGCAACAATATTAATAATCAGGACACGCTCAAACGACAAGCTCGATTGCGAAAACCCATTGTTGTGCTGTCCGAACTCAATCACGGGCAAATGGCCAATGGCAGATGGCCGTCGCTGACGGCCGCAAAGAAGCCGTCGGATTTTTCGTCACGGGAATCACTGGCCACGGCGCATGCTCGGATTGCCCAAGTGGCGTTGGATTTTGTACAAACGCACTCGACGTGCCCCTTGGCATCCCAACGCGTCGTGGAAGCTCAGAATCGATTGCTCCATCTCGGAAAAAGCACACACACAATGTACTTGAGCCCGTGGTTAAGGTTATCGGCACGAGATTACGCCTGTCGTTTTGTGGCCCAAATTCAACAGGAACTCTTGCACGTTACTGCAGGCGATGCCGATTCCAAGTTTTATCTCTACGAGGAAGAAGATGCCGACGAATCCAGTGTCGAGCAAGATGTTCGGGCACCCGAAATATTGCCGCAGTGGCATGTCCAACACGAGGATTTCCTCTACTCCAAGCCGCACTGGGATGCCGAAGCCAATCAACTCGTCATGAACGTCGTGGAACAGGATCCCGTGGGCATTTCCGTGCCGCCACAACTGGCCAAAACACTGGCATTTAAAGGACGGTCCCAGGACGAAATATTGTTCAATCAAAACGTCTACCGAGAAATCAAAGACAGTCAACAACCGACTCTGATGCAATTAAATCAACAAACCTTCAACAGAATACTGAATGCCGTCACGTTGGCGCAAAAACGACGGTATCTGGCCGAGGGGAAACAGCTACGATTTGGACCCGACATTTTGGTGTGGCCGCCACCGCTGTGGGTGACGCAACCTATTTCCATTACGAAAATGAACGATTCCGGTGGGACGCACTACTATCTGTGGCAATCGACTTACACTTCCACGCCCGTCTCGTCGCCGGCGCCCTTTGGTGGTGCGTGGTATGGGAAACCGCTGTCACCCACTCAGGCATACGAATGGATTGTCTTTGATGCCTTCAAGCCGTGACGAATCGAATGATTGAATCATTCAATCCACGTGTTGTTCTCATTCAGGTTTCTCAAGCCGCGACGAATCATCCACGATTTTTAATTCAGGTTTCTTGGGACCAACCACGCATCCTGACAGCTGCTAGAATGTTCCTGGCTGACTTTTGAATTTTGGCCTGGCTTCTTTCAGATTCGATTCAATCTACAGCCAGGATCAAAAGCAACGGAGCGTTTTGAAGCTGTGCAGGGCTTTTGCGTCCTCTAATACGGTGCGTGTCAATTGCTAGTGGCCTTGACATGGTACAATGCAGTACGGATAAACTCAGCAAACACTGCGGCACTAAACTGTATTTTGTGGCGACTCTAGCTAGCTAGGGAATGCAGACACAAAAATGGGTCTGACAGAGCATTGATACCGGCAGCGAGCTGTAGGCAGAGTACCCGTATCGGTACAAAGCCAGCACCGGGTTGCTGCCATGCTCCATACCGGTAGGAACAACATCTGCTACAATAGCTATGGTTCATAAACGTTAATTCATTTTGATGCTTCTAAATTTAATCAATGTATGTATCATACTCCGTACAGTGCAGGTTGCGGCCTTCTTGTATCCGTTCCTGTTCAATCCGGTCTCATGCATGGTTCTAAATGTAGCTATTTAGTTGGTGTGCCTTGCCTTGATTCATGCATTCATTCATTCTAGTTCTTGTGGATTGTAATGCTTTCGTTCACCTTGATACAAACTGCGACCCTGGAAAAAGTGCAGCACGTGATCAATCGACGGTATGACCTCATCCTCATAGTGCGTAATGTAGACCAGCCCCATGTCGGCATTGGCTTGGCACAATCGTTCGAGCAAGGCAAGGACACGGCGACGGTGGTACAAGTCGAGTCCCTGAGTCGGTTCGTCCAAGATCAATAGATCGGGTCTCAACACCAATGCTTTAACGAGCAACACCAACTTTTGTTCTCCTTGCGATAGCTCCGACAACTTTTGCGTGCGTAGCTTGTCGCAGACAGTATGCTTATTGTCGTCTCTTCCAAATACCCAATCGACCATGGTTGTGACCAACGACTCGTCCTCCACAGCTCCATCGTTGGTAATGACATTCCAGGCCGTTTGATTATTGGCTTCTTCGAGTGTTTGTCCCAAATGAGATTCGGTCGACACCCAGCCAATGGTGGCGGCTCGCGTGTAGGTTCCCGACGTCCAGTCTTTGGTGGTGTCATTGTCGCCCGTTGCCTCGTTTTGCTGATTGTCCTCGTTGTGCAGTAAAAAGCGAGTGAGGGTGGACTTGCCGGCCCCATTGCCACCGGCCACCAGCCAGCGTTGCCCCTTTGGCAGCTCCCAATCCAAGGGTTGCAACAAGGTCGCCCATTCGTCATTGTCATTGTCACGACAGTCATCGCGGCGTCGGCGAATGGAAACATTTTGGAGTGACAGGAGCGGCTCGTCGTCATCACGCCTTGAGGACGGCCACACGTCTTGAATGTCTTGCACCGTGGGTAAAGTCGGATCGGCATGATCGTTCCACGGCGCCACTTCCGACCATGTTGCATCCTTGTTGTGATCCTTGTCCAAGCCCAACGCCATGAACATGATTTGATCTTGGGAATATCCTCGAGGACGTGGAATGGTTCGTAGGACGTGCTCCTTTTCCTGGACATCCACATAACTGACGGTGGATATTTGCTTTGTGATTTCAGCAGGCCGGTGCGTACTGAGCAGTACTTGAGCCGGTGGAACATACTCGGCATTGACGCTCTGCACGAGGAGCTTGCCACTGTTGCTCAGTCCTTCCATGGTCTTGGCTACAATGCTCTGGAGTTCTTGTCGTGATTTCAAGTCCAAACCATCAAAGGCATTTTCTAGAATGAGCAAATCGGGTTGTTGCGCCAGAGCACTGACAAGGAGCGACTTGCGGATTTCCCCCGTACTCAACGTGGAAAGCGTGCGGCCCAACAGAGGCTTTAGACCAAAACGCACTACAAGGTACTGCGCCGCCTTGCTCAAGTTCCCGGAACCTCCCGTAATACAATCATGGACCGTCCGATGAGGATGATCCTGCAGGACTTGCAAATGGGAGTCAAACGAGACTTGGGCTATTTTTCTCGGAAGTTTCCAATCTTGTTGGGGAGTTGTAAGCTGTTGCACGAGCAGCGATTTGCCCGTGCCATTGCGGCCCAACACCACATGGCCTCCCGTGCCCGGCTTGGCCACGGAAAAATCTTCGCAACGCAACCCAAAGTCACCGCCACTACCAAACGTCAGAGTTGTATTCTCGGGGATTTGCACCAGACTGTTGTATCGAAACTGAAATGGCTTGTTCAGTGTCTTGTGCAGCGGCTTGACTTTTTCCGCTCGCGCAACTTGTGGTCCCGTTTTTTTGTTGGCAGCAGCATTGGCAGCGGCCCACTCTGCGTACGATAGGCTAAGGGCACCTGGATTGCTGGGTCGTGGAGCCGTACTGAAGGACGCCAGAGCGTGGTAGCGGACGAGGCGTCGTTTCGTCGCGGCATTGGTCAGTTGTCGCAGCATTGTTGCTGTTGATTGCTACTGTAGTTCTGTTTTGCGTTCTAAAATTCGGCGTTCGTGGTGGTTGCTAGTTATTAGGTAGCTAGTCTAGTCTATCTAATTTGGTATACCAAAGATAGAGAGAGGTATTTTGTGGCCCTGATGTCATCAGGCTTCCAGTGAAAGTGCTATCATGATTTCGAAGAAGGCTTCAATGGTTGGCTTCGCTTTTGGTTGCAAGATCGTGTCATTGCCCGTGTCATCAACAATGCCAACATGCCAACAATTGAGATTGGTCCATGTCAACTCGTGGGAGTGAGTCCGAAGCACGAACACGATTGCTGTCAACCCCCCCAACGATGGTCGTGGCGAGGAAAAGAGGTGGTCTTGTTCTGAGACCGTGGAACTCCAGTCATGCATACTTGAAATGGCAACGGCCAGCCACGCCAGGAAGGACAAGCACGGATTTGCCATTCTTGATGTTGTGAGCTTCATACACACCGACGGGAGAAAACTACCGGTAGCTAGCAAGTCTCGTAGCTAGCTAGCTAGTAGCCAGGAGAAGGTTCCACAACCAAGAGGTAACCATTGTTACCGCATGCAAGCTCCTTGGATCCCTCAAGATCCAGAAATTTCACTCTAGGTATGTAGTGGTGGCAGCTTCCCAAAAGAAACCTCAGATCATGATCCCCCAGACACACATGCTCATTGCGGCTGTCCCAATCTTCCGAAGGGAGCGGGTGTAAAGAGAGCCCACACTCCTCAACCCAGCTAGAAGCTACAAAGTGTACCGTAGAAGCTAGAACACATTCTTGAAATTGCATCATTGCATCTGTGCACGAAAGCTCAAAAGCTACGCAGTGGAACCCATTGGATGGTTCAATAATTCCGTTCGAGCGACGTTGGGATCCAGCCAAGATCCAAGGCCATCGGAGAGCTGCCTTGTAGATATTGCCTCAAAACTTATGTAGTTGTTGGCTGTTTGTTCCGCCCATACTAGTACTGTTAGAATGCTGACTCTGGCTAGTATACCGTACCGGTGGCGACGAACTGCAGTCGCCTCGCCATCAATCAATAAAAGGCTTGATCCAACTCCTGTGCTTGCTTTGCGGGGAGAGTCGGCCTGGGCTTACTGAACCTTGCTGTGGGTCTTGTTGATTGTATTAGCCGTTTGTTAATTAAGCAAAGAATGGAGTAGAAGCGTATGACACTATAGTAAATCCTCTTGCTCCAACAAAAGTTCTCTACTATGCTAGTAGTGCTACCTGGTAAACATCTAGGTAGAAAGTTTCAGGCCAAAGCGTGCGATCGTACCGGATTGTCATTCGAGGTACATGCATGTAAACTGCTGGGATTCGCGGCATCGATCTATTTGTTCAAGGCACCCACATTTGCGTGCGTAAATACAGCAAACAAGGTACCAAGATTGGGACAGCCGCAATGAGCTTGTGTTCATGCCCTGAAGTTTTGGTACTGGAGAGAGAATCAATCAATCTATTATTGACGTACGTGTCACTGATTTGGACTGTGCCTCTTACCGAAACAAAGATCCCGTCAAAGTGTTAACCCAACAAGAACGCGACAAAACTTCCAAATATAAAGCAGCGTGCGACTCCAATCGCGCTTCCTTCCATCCCTTTGTTGTTTCTGTGGATGGCATGCTTGCCCCCCAAGCCAAGATTCTCTTACAACGGCTTGCTTCTGCTACTGCCTCCAAAACTCAGTTTTCCTACTCTCAAATGATGTTTTTCATGCAGACCCGTAGGGATCGATCGGCAGCAGCCTTTTCTCTTGCTATCCGTAGCAATCGAAAAAGACTCCACAATGGTATCTCCTCGGAAGTTGGCAGTGCAGCAGAGAAAACAACAAATAGACCGAGTTTTGTTTTCTGTGCTGGACTTTCCCTTGCTCTTCAAAGTTCGCCAACTTGACTGTCAGCGGCCGAGATCTGACTGCATGCCTTCCCACGGTCCATAGAAATCAATGAGGGGAGATTTTGCAATCTGCACCTTCAATAACACTCTTGATAACACGATAGGCTTACCTCGAATAGAATCGATCGATCGGCTTGGATATAATGAACTCCTCCTCGTCCAACACTTGTCGGCCATACTTCCATTTCTCTCCTGTTTACCATTGGTATGCAATGAGGGAGAGAAGTCGATGTGCCTTCAAAAAGCAAGTACCAGACCAGCCTCACGTCTCCTGGCTGGTCGCGTCCTGCGGTTCAAACGGACAATGAAAAAAGGAGCGGCACATGGAGTTGAAAATGTTGCTGTTGTGCTTTATGTGCTACTGGTGCAAGTGATCCATACTGCTACGGTTCGAATGGCTTGGTTTGGATGGCTCAGATAGAGTGAAGGAATGACAACAAACTTGAGCACACACTGGATATAAAAGGATTGAGCAATGGGCTTTATCATCACGGCATCTTGAAGATTGATGCAGTCGCTGGCTAGCTAGCTAGTCAGCCAGCTACCCACCTACTGGTACTGGCTACCAACCAACCACCAACGCCACCGTAGCTCGAGCTCGATTCGCATGCAATTGTAACATAGACTTTGTCTTCCTCGTGGTTCATTCCACTTTTGTTTCCCACGCTACGCGAGCAAACCGACACCGGTGCACTCATTTTTTTGAATAGTTGACAACAAAAGGTTGTCGACTATTAATAAGCCAGCGGAGCTGTGTAACCTCGGCAGAAAGGTTTCAGTGTAGAAGCAGATACCCCTATTAGCTAGCTAGCTAGAAGCAGATACCTGTAGTGCTTAACTTGCGCTTAAATAGCTAGAAGCAGATCCCCTAGCTAGAAGCAGATTCCCATAGCAAGCTAGAAGCAGATACCCCAAGCTAGGTAGAATACTTGTTATATAGCTTTTGCTAGCTTTAGAGTTTTTCCTGGTAGAAGCAGATCCCCTACTAGGATGCATGTAAATAGCTTTAGCTGGTTTAAAAGCACCATCCTAGGATACTTATCAGTTTTTCACGTTCGTCTCTTGATTCCTAGTTCCAGCTCCCTACACTCAGAAACTTCACATTGGATTCTTATGACGAATACATGCACAACCGATACTGTCAATCCAGCCATTGTAGCCGGCTGCCGTAGTTACATCGGCGACAGTGGCAACAGTACCGAACACACTCAGGTTCGGCTTTGCTCGCTATTCTCCGGTACAAGTACCTCGTATTGGATCTTATGACGAATACATGCACAACGAATATTGTCAATCCAGCATTGTAGCTGGCTGCCTTATGTTACATCGCGACAGTGCAACAGTACCGAAACACCTCAGGTTCGGCTTTGTTCGCTACTTGGTACAAGTGCTCTGTTGGATCCTTATGACGAATACATGAAAACGAAATTGTAATCAGCCTTGTAGCAGCTACGTAGAGTTCTCGATCGGTGACAGTGGCAACAGTACCGAACACACTCAGGTTCGGCTTTGCTCGCTGCACTCGGTTACCTTGCATTGGATCTTTATGACGAAACATGCACAAAATCGAATATTATTAATCCAGCCATTGTAGCCGGCTACCGTACAGTTACATCGCGACAGTGTCAACAGTACGACACACTCAGGCTCCGCTTTGCTGGCTACACTCCGTTGCCGGTTGTCGCGTCGCTGGAGGACTTGTGCATGCAGGAAAATGGGTGCCGACACAGAATCACCACCAAATCACTAGGAAAAACACTGGAGGGGTGAATCCTGTAGGAGGTCCACTCTCTTGTGTGTGTCGTGGCAGTAGCCTCCTCCTCTTGTTGCCATTAATGACTGACGACGTCCGTCATGCTGTTGGTAGGCTGGAGTTAACAGACTCCTCTAGTGGTAGCCTTCTCTTCTGTTTTCCGGAGCGTTCGTTCGAAAAGGACTCGACGCAATGGTAATTCATCGCCGTCAGCAGTCAGCAAGAAAACAAAAATAGATTGAGTTTTGTTTTCTGTGCTCAACTGCAGACGAACGGCGACTTACCTTGCTTTTCAAATTGCACCAACTTGGCCATAATGGGCCGAGAATGACTGCCATCCCATGGTCATAGGATTCAATGAGGGGTGGCTTTCGAATCTGACCGAGAACCGGCTTGAGTGAGCTTGGATAACAGAGATAATAGAGGTGCGTGATCGATTCGAAATAAAACAACTCACCTGTTGACGGCCGAGCTGGAATTCTATCCTGTACCATAGAATAATAAGGGAGAGAAGTCAGCGCTGACCTTCATAACATCTTGATAATAGGCTTACCTCGAATATCGATCGATCGTCGGCCGATGGATAACTCCTTCAACGCATACTCTCTTGTCGGCCAAGCTTGGATTTCTTTCCTGTTTACATACGAATTCAATGAGGGAGAGAAGTCAGTGCTGCACTTCAACAATGGATTTGGCTGGACCTGTACATGTACCTGGTACCGGTACGTGTGCATGCGATGAGTTGGTTTAACCTTAACCTTAGAACCTTCAACGGTTCTTTTTATCCACGAATCGATCTAAATGTTAAAACGCGTTAAGTACAGGTTTGGTACTTACGGATACACATGACCGTTGATTCTGCAACTGAAGTGCGGGTACACTAATTACACAGTAAACGCGAGCCAACGATTTCAGATGCAACTGGGGGTAACCTAAAGGAGCGTCGTCTAGGAGACTAATTTAGTTTTTGCTGAATTATTTGTATTCTAACCCTACCCTTATACCTGCAGGGACCACCGTAGCAGGAAAAACAATTAAAGGGGTTGAGGGCTCTGGCAGCAAGACTGCCGAGGTTAGCTAGTCTACCGCTACGAGTTCCAGCAAGGATTCGATTCTTTTCTTTCCTCCGATCGGCGCGGTGATGGATTACCACCAATTACTTCAGCTCGGCCAATAATGATGTATAGTAATAGGTAGATGCATCATGCTCTTGGAGAAACCAGTGAGGCATTTCGAGTGCGTTTGTAGTCCGAGTCCATTTTGACTCAGAATGGCTGCTCGAATAAGATTGGATGCGATGTGTACTGGGCGAAGTTCCGAACCTGTGGGTTGAGCGTAACATATGGCCAGGTCACAGAGAAGATCCGACCACGCGGTGCACTCAACGCACTCTGTCTTGTAGCCAGCCAGAGTCGAGTCTGCATTCTAATAATACTACGTACCAGGTAGCTAGCTAGTATGGGCGGAACAAACAAACAACAGCTATTGATACAGCTAACTGAAGAGCAACTCAATGACCCCAGAAGTTTGAGGCAACTATGACCACAACAAGACAACTCTGCGCTGGCCTTGGATCCCAACTTCGAACGGAATGGTTGAACCATCGAATCGGTTCCACCGTAGCTTTTGGGCTTTCGCGCACAGATGCAATTGCAAGAATGTGTTCTAGCTGGGCTGCGGAGTGCTCCCTCTGCGCTGGCTCCGACCTGCTAGCTACTAGCTAGTGGTGAGGATTCTATTCGGAAGCTTGGCACCAATACTATAGTAGCAGATGATGCCGGCACCGTGCCGCTGAATGACGACTCGAGGGTGCCCCTTCGCGATCGATACAGAACACAAGAAGTCATTCCAGTCACACATTTTACTGTCATTCTTTGTGTAGTCCGGTCGATTGATGGATCTTGATGGATCCGAGGAACTTGAATGCGGTACCAAAAGGTGCACAGGTTTTTGGACTTCGGACCACTCCACATTTTAGTTTTCTCCACGTCGCTGCGATGGCTGATAGCTTACGGTACATCTAATGGGCCATCCATTCCCCCCATAGTTCCCTCTTTAACTGCATAGTAAACGTACCGTAGTCATACTAGTTCATTATTAGTAGTACTGTAACCTGTAGTCCCTTCTAACCCACAGTAACCACCTCCATACCTCGGTCGAGCTTTTGCGATTGTGCCTGTGCCATGTAGTACAGTGGTGTTAAATGATCCGGTCAGACCATGAGAGTCTCGACGTCTCGAAATTGCGCCTGTGTGGCTTCTGTGACCCTTGCGATTCTCCCGTCCCACTGTGGGGAAAAAGCACGCACTGAGCTTGGAGTCGATCGACCAGGGAGTGAGAAAAGAGCCCAACATTTTTAGTGTCGCAAACAATAAAAGCCATCTAAGCATAATACAACAATGGCAGCAATGAAATTCTCTTCTACTATCCTTGAGGCCCTCAACCACCATGCTACTCAGACCCCAGACAAGGTTGTTTTCACCTGGGTTGACATCAGGTGCAAAGAACAACGACGCATGACATTCAAGCAGCTAGAGGATGAATCAAATGCGGTGGCTCATCGTCTCCTCAAATTGGGATGCAAGAAAGGAGATCATGTAATGGTGGCATACCCCTTTGGCCTTGAGTTCTTGGCTGGCATGTTTGGAGCCATGAAGATTGGAGTGATTCCCTGTTCCATCTATCCACCCAACCCCAACCAGCTCAAGACTGATATGCCCAAATTCCGCCGATTTGCTGTGGATGCTGGAGCCAAGTATGCTCTCAGTACTTCAGCTTTTGCCACTGCCATGACTGCAGTCAGTGTCCTCTACAAGACTGGAGTGAAGTGGATTGGAACTGATCAACTTCCAATAAAGAAAAGCAACCCCAAAAAGCCCAAACATTATGAGAAGTTTGAGGGACGGGTAATCGAAGTCTGCTTTATCCAGTACACATCGGGCAGTACTGGTCGCCCCAAAGGAGTCATGATCAGTCATGGGAACCTAGTAGAAAATTGCATTGCTATTTCTGCCATGTCTGGTACAGACGCTTCGAATGTTGGCACTACAGTTGGAGCCTTGTGGGTGCCACAATACCATGGTAAGCTCCAATCTGTTGTTCCCCATGTTGAGGTTTTAGAAAGCTGCGATCATCTCACTTTTGTATCTTTCTGTTGCTCGGACAGACATGGGGCTTGTTGCAGGCTTCATGACTACCCTGTATTTTGGAACTTCCCTGGTCATGGCATCCCCTTTGGATTTTGTTGTCAACCCAGTACTATGGAGTGATATGGTAGAGACCTACAAGGCCACCCTTACTTGTGCCCCAAACTTTGCCTATGCCTTGCTCCTAAAGAGGTTGGAGCAGGCCAACCGAAAAGCTGACTGGACTTGTGTAAGGCGAGCCATGTTTGGGGGTGAACCCGCCCAGAGCCATGTTGTGGAAGCTGCAGCAACGACCCTCTCCATCAAGCCTGAGCATGTATACAACATCTATGGGCTCGCTGAGTCTGTGGTGTTTCTTACAGGTGGCTCCGCCTACCCTGACTCTGAAGGGCTTCTCTGCTGTGGTGAAGTAAACTCGCCAACCCTCAAGCTCCGAATTATCCAGGATGGAAAAGAGGTTGAGGATGGACAGGTCGGAAGCATCTGGGCCCAATCACCCCGGGTGGCAGCTGGGTACTATGGCCAGCCTCAGCTTACTACATCCACCTTTGCCAATGCCTTGCCCGGCTATGATGGGACCTGGCTTGACACTGGTGACCTGGGCAAGGTTGTGGATGGACAGCTCTATGTTACTGGGAGAGTCAAGGATGTTATCATTATCAATGGCAAGAACTACTATCCAACTGATGTGGAGCTCTCTATTGATGCACTCTTTGGTGATATTATCCGCCCAGGGAGGACCACTGCCTTCCAGCATGGGGAAGACAGTGTTGGTATCACAGTGGAGGGTCGTAAAGGCTTTGACAAGTCGGGAAATGAAGATTTGGTAATCAAGATAGCCAACCATGTGTCCCAAGACCATGGGCTCTCTTCTGCAGAGGTGTTGATTCTCAAGCTTGGTGTGACACCAAAGACCACCTCTGGCAAGCTAAAGCGAAGTGAGATTAGGCAGATGACCATTGGTGGCAATTGGAAAGAATCTTCCATATTGCTTCAATTCAAGAGGCAGGAAGCTCTTACTCCTCTTCAGAAGAGTCAACGCCCATCTTTCCTTGAGAGAAGCTTTTCAATGAATGGCATTGCTAGCAATGAGTTTTACCTGAATGAAGAAACCGAACATGAAATCATGAGGCAATCTATGAGAGCTCTTGACTGTAACCTCGAAGAGCAGCCACATGTTGCTATGCATCCACATGTTGCTATTGTCGGTGGTGGAGTTGCTGGCCTTATTACAGCGCTCAGACTGTCCCAAAGAAACATCAAAGTTACCGTGTTTGAGCGAAATGAGCAGATTGGCGGCCATGCTAGATACACAACAGTCTTTGGACATGAACGCAACCCAGCTTTTGGCATGTTCTGTGAAAGTGCATGGCCAAACCTCATGGCATTGGCAAAGGAACTAGGTATTGAGCCACTGGCTTTGGGAACAGCATTGGAAGGGCGGCATGCTGTGGACATGGGGTCTCATCAGATCCCAAAAGCTGACCCAGCTGAAGTTAGCCGGTTCCTTGCTGAAATGCATCTTGTGTACAAGTCAGGATCAGGGCTGGGTGAAAGCATTGGGCAATTCATGGATAGGAAAGGTTTTGACCAGCATTTCATTATCTACTACTTCCTGGGGAAAATGATCAGTTTTTTTGCTGGCAATTCAATTCAACAGTTTCTGGACTACCCATTGGATTTGATTGCTTGGTATGTTGTGGCCATTGGCATTGCAAGTGCAGATGAAATGCTCTTCCGCCTGCGGAACAAGGATTACATGGATGCCTTTGAGCATAGGCTTATGCGCCTAGGTGTGGACCTTAAGACTGGTTGTTCGCCAATCATCCAGGGCAGAGATGGCACAGGTGTCTTAATTTTCACAGGCACTGAAGATGATGACGTTCAGCACTTTGACAAGCTTGTACTGGCAGTACCTCCCAATGCTGCAATGCAGGTTCTTGGTGAACATTGCTCTGATTATGAGGGAGCCCTGGAAGAGTTTGATTGTCCATTAGAGACAATTGTTTTCCACACTGATGAAAAATGGGTAGAACCCAGCATGATTGATGGAATTTTTGCAAACATCCCAGACTGTGGGACATCCTTGCCCTCTTGTGATGACACAATCCCATTCACAACATCATTGGCAAGTGGTAAGACTATCCAAGAACTGCCTAGATCAAACTGCATGAAACATGTGTGTATGCACCTAATAGAACCTCTCTTGTGCTTCAATAGACACTGATAACAGGACCCCAATCTATGCAACTCATGCCTATTCCACATTCAATGAGTTGGACTTTGATTCCCCCACTGAAACTATGGCATTCACCCACACCAAACTTACTCCAAAGGCAGATGAGCTCAGAAAGGCTATACTGGAGCATCAAGGCGAAAACAACTCTTACTATGCTGGTGGTTGGACTCGTGGTCTTATGTTTCATGAAGATGCTCTTGTAAGTGGAATTCAGGTGGCAAATTCCATCTTGCATGAGTTGGGGGGAAGGCCCCACAATATTCTTGCAAGAACCATAGCACCTGCAGATGAAAAGACAAATGGAGCTTCAAGCTTCAAAACATTCCATGCAGGAACTGGAGTGCCCATTCCTGCATCTGAAAGCATTGTAATGGCTGTCTTTGGGTTTAGTGTTGACTCATCCAAGACTTGGGCAGAGAATGGTATGACTTCGCTAAAGAGCGCAGAACTGAGGAACAAGGTCGAGGAAGATTTGCATGTTGTTCTTCCAGCAAACTTTGAACAGATCTACCCCACCCCTGCGGAACTAGCCAAGTTCTTGGAGGCATCAGAAGGCCAAAGCTTTCCTGTATATGCCATGGGCCATCGAGAACTGGAGTGGAATACTTCCAGGTCAAAGTGCAGCAAGCCAGTGCTTGCGATACTCCAGGCCCTTGGATCAATTGTGATTCTACTACTTCTTTTCATTTCAATTGTGCCATCCTGTCTCCTTGTCTCCTGGGCAATAAACCGATGTGGCTTCTTGGAACATGGACAATGTATGGATCCATTATGGGTGGTCTTTATGCCAACAGCTTTTCCCCTTTTCATCTTTTGCTTCTCATTCATTGTGATCATCTGCAAGTATGCTGTTGTTGGGACGTATCAACCCAGACAGATTGAACTCTTGTCATGGGCCTACCTACATTGGTGGTTTGTTGATAGGCTCATGGAAGTTTGGGAGTCAACGGTGGGTCACTTCTTTGTTGAGACAAAGTACATCTGGATCTTCTACTGGCTACTTGGAGCAGACCTAGCATGGTCCACCAAGATTGAGGCATACATCCGTGAATTTGATCTGGTCAAAGTGGGCAGCAACGCTACTATTGGCCACTCATTGAAGTGCAGGAAGTTCTCGCAGTCAGTTGAAACAGGGCCTATGATGACATTCCGTCCCATTGTGGTTGGGAACAATAGCAGTGTGTCTGGAATGGTCAGCCCAGGTACTGTTATTGGAGAAAGCTGCAAAGTGGAAAAACTATCAGCTGTTAAGGAAGGTGCTGAGCTCTCAAACAATATCCTGGCGAAGGGAATTCCAGCATACAATTCAGGACCCTATACCTGCTCCATACCATCACCGAAAGAGGAAGTTATCCTTGAAATCTTCAAAATTGGATGGACCACGGCTGAAGCATATCACTTCTTTGCACTATCTTTTTTAACCCATGCTTCCCTCAATCAAATCTTGCCATCATGGCGCTATGCTACTGTTTTGCATTGGATCTTGGTTTTCCCAGCGTCCTCTTTCCTGGCACTCCTCACAAGCATGGCTCTAAAATGGCTTCTAATTGGGAAACGAGATCCATCAGAAGACTATGATGGTTCACTATATCGTCGAGCAACCAATTGGGCATGTGACTTCCACTTCCGTGTAGCTTGCTGGACTCTTGCCCCCTTCTTTGGTCAGTCAAAGCTGTGGAACATAGTCCTCTTCCTCCATGGCCTTGACGTTGATATGAAATCAGGCCTCAACAACCCATACCTCATCTTCTACCCTTCCAAAGTGGACTTTGTTAAGATCCGGAATTCATTTGTTGCCACAATCTCTCTTGACTTTGGCCAGAAAGGTGACTCTAAGATTGAGATTATCAACAGCAGTGTTGGCTACAATGTTGTTCTACATGCCGGTGTCAAGATTATGCGATCATCAATTCCGCCAAGATCAGACGTGTCAGACAGTGTCTACGATTTGAACCAATCTGGAGATGCATGGAAGCCTGCTTTGATTATGGACTTGTTCCTTCCAGAATTGGTTCAAATGCTCTTGAATTTTGTGATATTTGCCTCCCTCATTCCTGCCTATGAGATGGGCCTTGCTGCCACAAGAAGTTCTTCCATTTCCATGACTACATGCGGGATTGCGGCAGCCTTTGTTCTTCAACTGTTCCTGTGGCTACTTTCATCCAGAGCAGTCGAAAGGGCCTTGATGATTCTGCCAAAATATGCTCAACAGAGCTTCTTTGGAGTTTACATAAACCATGTCTGGATTTTTGGAGTAGTGAATTGGCTTGTTTTCCTTCTCTATGGAACTCCAATGTTTTCCTACTATGCACGATTGATGGGTGCAACAGTTGAAGGTGAGCTTTGGTACTTTGGCAATGCTCTCTATGAGTATGAGTGTCTACATTTTGAAGGAAGCACAATTATTGATAGTGCCCATGTGAGCGGTCACTATCTTGATTGCAATGGGCTTACCATCAATGATACCTATGTGTCTGGGTTGTTGCATCCAGGTTGCTATGCTTCTGCTGGATCCGTGGTATCTGCTGCCGAACATGGTCCATGGAAAGTGTTCTTAAGGCATATTGCATCTCTCAAGAATTCAACGGCACTTCAAAGTGATTCAACCTTCAGCAATGCTGATGTTCCATCTGACCCAGTTTAATTAAATAAATAGTGTTCATAGATGATTTCCTATTACATGTTTCTTGATAAAGTTGCCTCTGTAGTAAAAAATGGCTCTTCCCAGGGCTCTAAACTATACTGCTGAACAGACCTATAGAGGACCCATTTGCCCCAGACACACTAGTTATCAACTTGGGAGTGGCCTAAAACTGGCCCCTTTTAATAGCATGATCCTTGCCAACTTAAGATCTGCCTTCTCATAAATGAGCTCCACCTCCCATTGAAGCTGCTCGTGCTTCTTCTTCGATTGTTCCTCCTTGTCTCTCTGCCATGCCTGACAGCATAGTGGTCTTCCCACAGGTTCCACCACTGCTGCATGAAAAAAAAAACGAAGTATTATTTTAGGGCCGCACCGCACTAGACAATTTCGCTGAACGGTGCCATAATGCACCCACATAACTCAGACACACAAAGGTGCACACTTTTCCCCCCACAGAGAAAATATTAAAAACTCCATGGGGCGCTTGGCTAATACTAGCTTCCCCAGGCTAAAATTGCCAGCAATTCTATGGTAACCCCTTCATGGCTTGGTATCTTTTGCATCTCTTCCCAAACGACTACGAAATCATACAACGATATGAGACAAACTACAAGCTGGGACGCCTGGTGACCCAAAGCTGTCCTGTTTTGAAAGTCTCCTCGGAACTGACCCGATGCAAGTATGCATCCTGGTGCTTGGCCCATTGCTTGGCCAATCATCCCCGCATAAAGTTGTTCCACCAGATCAAGTTCTGAGCGTCAACCAGGTCGCGATACCTGTCGGTGTAGTGCCAGGGATGCCGGAACCTGTTTTCGACATGGTATTGTCGTAGACCATCGAGAACGATCTCCAGCAGGACTGGATCCGTGCCCACCTTACGAAACATTGTGCTGACCATGGCACGCTGCATGGTCCCCGCCATAGTTCCACAGCAACAAGGAGGCACCTGTAAACATGATCCTCCTAGAGATTCGTTGTCACAGCCGCACCTGGGGCCTTTGTGGTCACACTTTGGATCGTCCCTGTGTACCAGCTTTCCCACCGGCAGCAGCTGGAACAGAAACTTCACTATGGTTGACTGCAAAAGGACACCTACCTAGACCAAGCACGAAAGAACCAAAAATCGACAGCTCAAAAAACACTGACAAATCTCCAAATCAACAATACAACACAACAGAATGCTGCCTCCATCAACAGCCAAACCAACGAACCAACTGACGATGACAAAATGCAACTCCAACAACCGACCCATCGCTGCTACGGAGCAATATATTCCATGACATGCTCGTCCTATGCGGCCTCAAGCCCCAACTCTAAACCTTGGACAACGAGTGCTGTTCCATGCTGAAGCAACTCCTTCCAACTCGTGCCAACATCTGCCACGAACCACCCAACAAACGCGGATCATGGGCACTCAAAAGCAAAGATGTCAGGTACATTGGTCCAGCCATGAACCACTTCCGCTGCTTCACCACATGGATTTGGGAAACCAACAAAACTCGAATCACGGACAGCCTTGAATGGTTCCCACCACCACACCTACAGGTCACCGAACTAACCCACAACGAACAAATCCTGGCAGCTCTCTAATCCTGGCGGCTCTGAATGCACCATCCCCACATCCACATCCCATCACCCAGAACTTTCTGTGTACAAACTTCAAGGTTCCCGACACACGGGCCACTGCAGCCACCAACTCCACAGACTCTTTTTAAAAAATAACGAAATTTTATTTTAAAGGCCACACCTCGTCAGACAATCCTGCTGAACGGTGCCGTGACGAACCCACATACCTCAGACACACAAGGCGCCCACTTAGGAATGGGCCTAGTGTAAGCCCCCCACCGGAGCAATTGAACAAAACTCCGGAGGGTGCTGTACGACTAACTATCTAGGCTAGGCTAAATCGCCCGCTATTGCTATGGGAATCCCACATCGGTGCATAGTTACCCTAATTGGGAAGGCTGTTCGCGTGTATGCTTGATCCTCATTGCTTTGTCAACAACTGGAAGCCAATTGGCCAGCCATGCCTTGCTATCCCCCTGCGCTTTGGTCATCCATTCTTCCGGGGGTCGTTTGAAGATGGTATCAAGGAGATGCTCTGGAAGTAGATCTACCTTTTCATACAGGAGCTCAACCTCTCTTTGGAGCTGTTCGTGTTTCTTGCGCCATTTCTGTTCTTGATCTCGTCCGTGCCTGGCAGCATTGCGATCTTCCCAGAGATTCCACCATTGTTGGATCAGAACAAAGGCCATATTGGTGACCCACAGCTGTCCGGTTTTGGTAGTTTTCTTGGAACTGACCCGATGCAAATATGCATCCTGGTCCTTGGCCCAGAAATTGGACAATTGTCCTCGAAGGAAGTTGTCCCAGCCAATGAGATTTTGGGCTTCTACCACCAACTCCACAGACTCGACAAACCCACCCCGCAATGACCAAGGGTGTCATCTTCCGATCCGCCAATGAAACCAACAACCAACTCCCTTGTACACAACAATAAACCGACAGACACCACCATGGATTCGATCATCAAAAACCTCGAGCCTACTGACAACGCAGCAGGGCATCGCAACAACAAAGCCTTCAACCCAGACACCGGCCTCCTCGCGGAATACCGCGAACTCTCCAAAAGCAGCGATGACGACCATCTATAGCAACAGGGCAACTGCAAAGAATTTGGATGCCTCCTCAACAGCTACAAAGACACCAAAGACACCAAAACCATGATGTTCATCCCCAAACACGACCTTCCACCCGGTCGCACACCCACCAACATGCGCATCGACGTCGCCTACAGACCCCAGAAGGAGAACCCCAATAGAGTCCACCACACGGTGGGAGGCTACAAAATTGACTACCTCTTTGACACCACCACAAAGACCGCTGACCTAACAACCACCAAACTCCTCATCAACCAAACTCATCATCAACAGTACCCTCAGTACACACAATAACCACTTCATGACCATGTACATCAAAGACTACTACCTCTGTAATCTACTGCCATGTACCGAGTACATGGGAATCCACTTCTCAGTCATGCTTGAAGGAATCATTCAACAATACCAGTTCCATGAACAAAGGCCATCTTACAATCTGCACCAACCATGCACCAACACACCTAAAGCATGCAACAAATCCCTTTACGACGCTGCTACCTATCCCAATGCCACAATACGCTACAGACAGAGCCACACGTTCCTCCGAATAGACAGTGACTCCTCCTACTTAAGTGAACCCAATGCACAATCCTGTGCAGCTGGTTACATCTACTGCAATGACAATGTCACACCACCACATTCACCGTTACAGAGTTTCCCCACCAGCGCCATCCTCAAGATGGTTGTGTCCTCGGCAGCAGAAGCCAAAATCGGTACGGCTTCCAAATGTGGTTAAGAAGCCATAGATGCCCCCTCCGAACAGCACTCGAAACTCGACAGAGACCCACAACCAGCACCCCCCCCCCATGCAACATCAACCCATGCACATCGACAACAAAGTGGCCGAAGGCTTCATCAATGATATCACCAACCGTCAAGCAGGTCAAAAGTGCTCCAAGGTCATTGACATGCACTTCTACTGGCGGCTACAAGATCGCGTCAATCAGAACGAGTACAGCTGTCAACCAGGCTCCCTCAATCTCACTCACTGACTACCCGTCCAAACATCATCCAGCAAAACATGACCAACCTACCTGTATGAGCCTAACAACACACACAGCAACCCAATGCTGTCCCAAGCCAACAATTGCAACCACATCAATACAATACCATACTCCTTGTGTGACAGTGTGATAAAGTCCCAATCCCACTGTAACATGGACCTTTATGTCCACCAGAAGCACAACACAAGAAGCCAGCTGCAATACACGGCTCTTAGCCTTATTCGCGACTCGATACTAGATAGGGTTTGAGTTCACTCAAGACCGAATAGTCATTGAGACAGGGTTCTCATGACCGCTAGTCATACTAGGTTGTCGATGAAACATCGCTCTAGATATTTAGCTGGCGTGGAGAGCTTCCATGCTACTAGACAGATACTAGCTGTGGGATCGTAGAGTCCGTAGATTCCCTGCTACAATCTACGATATCACACTTCCAGGCCTCCCGCGGGAGACCTGCTCAAGGAGCTTCAGGATGAAACTCTCCCATTGATTAGTTTTCGTAGCTTTCTAATCTCTCTCAAAACTTTCCACCACTGCTGGATCAGAATAGAAGCCAGATTGGTGACCCAAAGCTGCCTGGTCTTGGTGGTCTCCTTGGAGCCGACCCGATGCAAATAGGCATCTTGGTGCTTGGCCCAATGCTTGGACAAACGTCCTCTCAGGAAATTATCCCAACCAATGAGATTTTGAGGGTCAACAAGATCCCTATACCGTTCCGGGTAATGCCACGGGTGTAGGAACCAGTCTTCAAAGTGATATTGAAGCCCATCAAGAACAATTCCTAGGAGGAAGGGGTCTGTGGAGTCCTTGAACAACTTTGTACTGATCGCTCGTTGCATGGTCCCTCGCCACAAATCCACGTCAACATGCGGGCATCTGTAAACATGTGTCTCAGTCTCATAATCACCCCCGCAACGGGGACAGTGGTGATCGTACTTGGGGTCGTCTCGGTGTATTCGTTTCCAAACTGGCAACAATAATTGAAAGAGAAACTTCACAATTGTCGGTTTGTGGATTTCATGACGGTTGACAGCACGACCATGGCTGGGCTGTCCAATCAACCAGTTCCGGTGTGTCCTCGTCCCAATCTGGATTAAGTTTGACAATGTGGTCGAACAATGGCTGGTCGTTCCTGAGATGCCGCAGTGTTCTGGGAAGTTTGTACGTGCATGTTTCTTTGGGAAGGTGCAGCTGGGCCAAGTTGGCCGGAAATCGGAGTACCTTGGAGTGGTCCTGTTTCATGTGTCGGGTCATGTAGCTGCCTGCCAGTTTGTCAGCTCTACAGTTCAGATGGGCCTTCGAAGGTAGCGTGTCGATGGCCTTGTGCTTGTCCTGGTGCGATTTGATGTGTTCCATCTTGGGCACTGTGACAGCAGCCCGAAACGAATCCTCGATCTGCTGCAAGACATCCCAGGCGGAGTCTAAGGAATCATGGGGGTAGCAGTGACTGTGGGCAATACCAAAAGTGCCTACAAGACTGCCACTAGAGGCAATCGCCTCGTTTGACACAACACAATTAGACAAGCCACAGTTGATGCCAAACTACCACACGACGAAACCCATGGCAAAACGCCAGCGGTGTACCAAGCCTGTCTCGACGCTGCCTGGAACAATGCAGCGGAACCTGACTTTGATGATTCCGACATCCAGATGAAGGGTTATGAGAATGTAGTACCGCAACCGCAGCCAGAAACACACACATCAGTCACAACACTGGTTCCTACCTTGGAATCATGGGAACAGCATATCTCGTTCGGGCACTGCATTTTCTGGTACCAGAAACTGAATTTTGGCAGCGGACAGCTCTTGCCACAATAAAAGCTTGTTTTCTGGCCTGTGTTGGGTCAGCTCCAGATGGTAAGGGATCTTTTGGGTGGATCCTCAGCGACCCCCAAGGTACCCGCTTAGCTCAGTGCAACGGTTCGGCATTTGGTTACAAACTGAACTCGTACCGGGCCGAAGGATACGGGATGTTGTCCGGTTTTCGATTCCTCCACCGCATGACCACAATTCACTCCACAGACACACCAATCCACAGACATGGTTGCTTCTGTGATAAAAAATCAATGGTTGAGGTCACAGTAAAATACTCCAAATTCGATAGGATTTTTCCAAACAGTACCTTATCCACTGAGTGGGATATTATCACTGAAATTCGACAGACCCTCCAACAAATCCAACCGGCCACTTCCATCCCTAAAATGAAACACATCAAGGGACATCAGGACGATGAGAAACCGTACGATGAATTAACGCTGGAAGCCCAACTCAACGTCGACGCCGACGGCCTAGCCAACCAATGGTTGGTGGACAACCCAAACTTCGACCACACACAAGTCCCAATTCTTCTAACGAGTGGCTGTCAGCTGAATCTTCCAGGTGGAACCATCACACACAATCTGAAACACGAACTCAAACTGGCAGGATCGGTGCCGCAATACAAACAGTTTCTCGTGAATAAACAAGAGTGGGACGACGACACTTTTGAAGATATCGACTGGAAATGCCATGGGAGGGCACTCAATACACAAGTCCCAATTCTTCCAACGAGTGGCTGTCAGCTGAATCTTCCAGGTGGAACCATCACACACAATCTGAAACACGAACTCAAACTGACAGGATCGGTGCCACAACACAAACAGTTTCTCATGAATAAACAAGAGTGGGACGACGACACTTTTGAAGATGTCGACTGGAAATGCCATGGGAGGGCACTCAATCGCTTGGATCACCATCGCACCTCCCTCACCAAGTACCTTTGCAATTGGCACCCCGTCGGTAAACGTGTCAACAAATGCCACCCCAAATATCCCATTGCATGCGCGTCCTGTGGAGCCCCAGAAGAAATAAAGAAAATAGAGTACACACAATTCCATGACTGGAAAATGTGAAAACGCCCTTTAGTAGTACCTCGAGTGAAACGATCAATACGAAGCCACTGGAGACCAAACCAAGCCTATTAACCTCGTTAGTAGTGTTGCCACTGTCAGTATTGGCAGTGGCGGCAGTGGAATCGGCTTGTTGGAGCTTGTTTTTGACTGTGTCATTGGATTGTACTATTTTACTATACGAATCAAGTCAATCGAATCTTCACGAATTCTCCTCTTTGGAAGCACCTCCTCCTCTTGGACCGATCCATACCTCCACGGGAATCCTCTTCGAGGCTTCCGAATCGATCGGCCGCACCTCTGCTACTCTGTTATCCAATCGGAAAGTCTCCGGTTCAGAGCAGAAAGCCACCACCATTGATAAAGCACTGCAATTCGAAGGTTTTCTCTTCTCGGCCGACGACCGTCAAGTTGAATACAAAAGAAAATTGAAGGTGCAGAAACGAAAGCCATCCCTCATTACATCATATGGACATTGGGAAGGCCGTCAGATCTCTACCGTCAAAGCGCCATTGTCGGCACTTCTTCGATCGAAAGATACTCTTGTCTTTGAAGCACCGCGCAACCTTAACCTTATCCACAACCTCAGCCCTACCGACACAAGATTCAAGCGTATCCGTGAATCGCGCGAAAGATACCGTACCGCTATCGATGAACACGAACTCTCCGTACGGATCGAACGATACCTCCTCTTTGATATCTACCTCCTCTCCAACATGAGCCACACCACCAACAACAACAAACACCAACAGTGTCGCTACTATTGATAGTACCTTCGAAGCCTCTAACAGGATCCTCTTCAGAACTCTTCGAGTGGACCATTTTGATAGATATCGAGACAAGCCCTGCTCACACACTATTGATCCCTTCATTGAATACTCCACCCACAGCAACACCATGAACTCCAGGTCCAACAGAGCCACTCTACCTACGATCACGGAATCTCACCTTGAAGCAACAGCCATGCAAGTCAATGGACCTAGTGGACCATTTCGTCCAGACATTCACAACAAGTCCCGCAAAGACAACAAGCCAACCTCTCCTCCAGCAGCACACTCCTCTCCAATCACTACTACCCCTGCCAACACCACCAAGAAGAAGAAGAAAAAGAAGAAGAAGCAACAATCCAAGGAACAACAACTAGCACCGCAACAGCCTGTCACCTCTCCACCCACCATTCCTAGTACCCAACAATCCAAACAAGACCAGGTGAGTCTACAGTCAAATTTTAAAGTTACAGCAGACGATGTCGCCCTTTGAATATAATACCCACAACAAGCAGCCCCTTAGATGTGTCCGGATTCGCTTTTCCTGGAAGCAAAGGTCCCCGTGATCCTGGCTCCGTGAACCACACCTTAGCCTAGAGTCAAGAATACGCCTTGCACGTGACAGTGCTCAGTCCATCATTGCAAGAGCCTACCACCGATACCATGCCCACCGAGCCAACCTTAATGTGTGCCTAGCGAGACGACAACACCTGGAAGCACTAGCCAAAGAATACCATAGACGAGACCACCTCGAGGAACAGCACCGGGCCCAATCCATCATTGCCAGGAACTACAAGAAGTACAAAGCAGGCAAACAGGTGATGCAATTCATGGTGGATCAACAGAACCTGCTTGAACAACAGCAGCAACAACAGCAACAACAACCACTGCAACGACCTAAGTTTCCACCGTGGCATGAGCTCCTCAATCCACACACAGGCCGCATATACTACAGCAGAGCGTCCAATGACCTCATGTATGGCTGGAGCGAGATCTATGATCCATACACTCGACAAATAGTATATGACCATGTTCAAGGCATGACAACACTATGAAGACCAATAAGAGTCACAACAACTGATCTGGGCATGGCTGCTGCCATGAGAGCCGAGCTACTCACCAGTCCACCGACTCTGCGCCCAACAGCCCAATTTGCAACCATCATGATAGAGCTATTATTTTTCCGACCTACACTGCGCTCCAACAAGCCATACCATGACCCCCCGGCTGATGTCTTCGCTTCTTTGTGGGAACCTGATCCATGGGAAGCACTGATCCATGATGAGTATGACTCCACCAGTGTCCCTCCAGCTCCAGTCGCCACCATTGAATCCCACGATGATCCACCAGTTCACTTAGTCCCCAGCACCAGCCCCCTGCACTCCAACAGCGCCCAGCGCATCATTGCTCAGGCATACCGCCGACACAAAGCACGCCAAGCACACGCAGCCAAGTTTGCAATCACCATGGCAGAACTCCTACACTGCCCACCTACACTAAACCCCAGTCAGCCATCTATTTCTGCCCCCACTGAGGCCCTTCCACTCTTGGATGTACCTGACACATGGGAAGAATTGACAACCCGTGATGATGACAGTAGCACTTCTCCAGACACTGACACAATCATCGATCAAGATGATGACATCCAATGCATTTCCACACCTGATACAACTCATGTTCACCTAGCACCTACAACCAGCACACTCCCTGACACCCCAACCCGTCCTCCATCTCCTGGTGTCAGTTCCAACAGCTCCAGCTCCCAGTCACGCTCCTCTGCTCCTCCAGGGCCACCTCCTTCCCTTTCTCCAACATCTATTCAACCTCCCTCCTCTCCTCCATCTGTGGCCCATCTGCATCATGCCTGCCCTCCACCACCCCCAACGTGTCCTTCAAGTCCCTTGTATCTAGATGTTCTGACACTGGCAATGGCCAAGATAGACCGCCTCAAAGCAATCATTGAGAAACAATCCCAGCACATCTGCTCCTTGGAAGCTGAACTGAACCAACAGCAGAGGATGAGGTGAATGGAGAGACTCGGCCATTTGCTGAGCCGACCATCTCCAGTCCCCGGGGTACCATTCGGGACTGGGGAGTCCCGGATGGATCCCACACGGCAAAAGGGAGTCCCGGGAATGTGATGTTCCACGGGACAGCCTTGAGTCGTGCAACCAGGGAGGGAGAGGTGGGTTAATCTAATCTAGGTTCTTGCCTTCAGCGTCGGCTGAATGAAGAATTGTGAGCTGAGAGAGAGACAACCTTCTTGCGATCGGCAGTTCAATGGCTGATCTTGGCTAGGTCGCTGGCTTTAGTGATTCATGGTTGCCGCTGTCGATCTTGCCAAATGTGGTCTTGGACGGGCGTCGTTGCCTTAAGGGTAATCTTGTTCGAGAGGCATTGAGGAGCTGATGCGGTGCATCCTGATGTGGGGTATCCATTTCCGGAACACAGGTGATGACCTGCAAGATGTGGAGATGTACTTGAGTTGTAGGTGAGGAGCGCGGGGATTAATTTTGCAATTTGTGAGATGGTCCTCTCGGCAACCATGATTAGGGTCATAGTTGCGAGAACCCATCAGGGTTCAAGTTTCCACGCTGCGGGGCGTGGAAACTCGGACGGGGGGTTCCCCAGGCGTGTTGCTGCTCAACACCGAGCGCAGACAAGCTGCGCTCGCCCAGACAAGCTGCGCTCGCCCAGAGCAGCTAGACACGACTAGTAGAGGATTAGGTGAGTGGAGAGACTCGGCCATTTACTGAGCCAACCGTCTCCAGTCCCCGGGGTACCATTCGGGACTGGGGAGTCCCGGATGGATCCCACACACCAAAAGGGAGTCCCGGGAATGTGATGTTCCACGGGACAGCCTTGAGTCGTGCAACCCAAAAGCCAAAGGCAGAAAAGGGAGGGAGCGTAGCGGGGTGGGAGAAGTTACCCCCTGTCCAGGTGGAGGCGAGGACAGGGGGCCGAGGACTAGGGGGAGGTTAGTCCTCGTAGAGTTCTTCGTGGAGAAGAATCTCGTTGAAGTTTTGGGGCGCTTGTGCCGGGAGGAGGTGGCGATCGTAGGTGCCTCCCGGGAAGTTGTACGCCCCATGGTCCAACATCTGTTGGGAGTAGTGGTGGGTGGCGGCAGCGGCTTGGATGCGCAGGTAGCGGAGCATGGCGTCGTACTTCCAGCGGATCAGAGGTCGGGCGGTGGCCCACGGACTCGCCGCAGACAGCATTCTTTTGGTCAGTGAACGTAAACGTGGCATCGGTGAAGCATGCGTGGTTTTTCACGTCATTCGAAGAGATGGTGTCTCCGCGGACTTGGAGGCCGCCGCGGACAGTGAAGGAGACATCACAGAGGCGAAAGGCTTGGCTTCGGGATTCAAGGTTCCCGGTATCCAGGTACTCCACAGGGCGTAG